TATCAGGGTATAGTTATTTATCTCACTTCCTATTTCTCTAGGAGGGATAATTCATAATGGAATTCAATAACAAAGTCCAGAATAATCTGTCAGACTTAGAGAAATATATGGATATTACCAGTCATTTCATAAAAAGTCACTAAGTCTATGGAAAATAAATAAGCTTTTTCATATTCATTCTCCTTTAAGTCTCAAATGAAATATCATTACTAACTCTGAAAACACACACAACAGCAACACTTTATAAAAGAAATCTCCAGTGAGATCCAGAGTGCCAACAGAATACTCAGTTCTTCTTTATTACCCAGATAAAATTCATGATGCAGAAATAACTAAGGTTCTGATAATGTTTACTCCACATAAATGCCCCACTTAGTTTCATTTTTAAATTTCACTTAGGATCCATTGTTAAAGAAACATGAGTCCATAAAAAAATATATATATCCTGTACAAATAGTTAAAAATAGTTGTAGTTCAGATGTCTATTTACTTCAAATTTATGCCTCTGTATAGAAGGTATCTGAATTTTTTCTCTTTTACTTTTTACACCACCCTCCTTAAATCCCAGATGCTGATTGAATGGCTCCTTTGGGCAGCCTTCATGTTAGAAATTCTATAAGAGTTACTAACCCAACTTCACTGGGCTGATTCATTGGTAGCACATAGACATGAGCTTATCCTCAACATGGGACAGACTGTCCCTTTCTGTCTCTCATGCTTATAATTTTCAGTGATTAGTGATACTCAAGAATGGGGAAGTGGAAACCACTGGTGGATGTGTGAATTGCTTTTTCCTTTTGAGCAGCTGAATCAGTTCTCACTGCTGTTCTTGTTCATTTTTCATCTTTATGCTTAAGAATGAATCAGGCACATTTGGAGGTTTGTAAAAGTCATATTCTGTATAAAGAGAGAGCATATGATGTGAAAGGATCTCAAGGAATCAGAACTTCTAAAATTCTGCACCCAAAATTTGCACACCAGTGTGTATCACTTGCAGTGGATACCATTGGTGCAATACCTAGATACCACTGGCCAGCTGGCCCACAGCCTGCTTGGCTGCATGGTTAGCGACTCTCCCCTATCTCCTTCTCTGGAAGATTGCCCTTCAATGATCAGCACCATCTTGCACATCAGCCAGGTGACCCATAAGAAGTTTCTTCACAAGGAACTGATGACTCATGGGATATAACTCACCCTGGGCAGGAAAACTACATATACTTTATCCTCCATAGCCCCGTGGTCATGAGATTGAGGCCAACTTGCTCTTAAGATCAGATTCTTCCTTAGTTCTCTGCCCTTGTTGATCATGCTTCTCTCGTCTTCTGACAAGTGACACCTGGAGACATTCCCTCTGAAAAACACTAGCACTAGAGATCCTGTCTTATCATCTAAGGTATTTTCACAGAACTATTTTAACTACCTATTTAGGTTCGAAAGGAAATTAGTTTCTGGAGGGAACACACACACTCACACAGGGTAAACCTTTGAGCCGCTATCATTGAAATTCAGTTTTTGCTACTGGAGTTAGTAACTATTTCTCCTAACTAATAGACATTGTTCATCATTCTCTGATTATCAGAAAGGAACTAGATGAAATGTCTACATGCTTAAGTCACTTAAAATGATAGTGGAGACCTGAATGGGCTTCAGCAAACCTTCACAGTTCTGACATTCCAGGTTTGGGTCCTCATCCTCTGTTTTCTTTTGGTTTTTCTACTCGAGACTGAAAAATGGTCAAAAATAAATGACTTATTGAGCACCAATTATGCATAGGTTCAGAATTAGTAGCCCTAAAGATGTTAGTTGATTGAAAATAGGAGTCCATTAAGAGCTGTCTAAATATATTGGAATCCAGAAGCCTATCTCTTCTCCTCTGGCTCTAGAATCCCCAGGCATGATTATTAAGCTGGAACTTCATCTGGAAATCACTCTTGCTTGACTTGTTTTACCTCCTTGTCCTATTTCACCCTGCCTCACCCAGTACTGGTTTGCACTGGTATCTCCTTTCCCAAATCATTTGCTCTTAAAATTGGCCCAGTCTCCTACTGAGAAAATTTTCACTTAAAGAATGCACAAAAAGGAATAAAAGAGGCAAATACTAATGAAATAACTCACATTCTGGACTTCTTAATCAACTTGTATCTTCTTCTGTTTTGAAATATTTATTGTTATTACAAAGTAATGCACGTTCACCATAAAGAAAAACAAATAAACCAAAAAAATACGAAGTAAAACAAGCCAAATAACTCAAAACTGCAATCTTATAAAATCCCTAGCATCCATAAAAATTACTATTTAGGTGTCCATTGCATATTTACAAGTTTAAGATTACTGTACATATTATTTGTCATGTAGTTTTTCATGTAATGTTAGTAAACTATCTTCCAATGCCAGTAAAATTTCTTCTAAAAATCTTTTTCTGCTGTTATAGACTTATGTGCTGGACTTATGTCTGGCAACTGAGACCAGGTACCCAGGTGAGACTGACGCTGTGGCTGTGGACCACTCTGAGCATCACTGACGATATCACTGTTGTGAGAACTCGGACTTTGCTGTTTGGTTTTAGCATAAACTCTGAATAAACTCAGTCACTTAAGTATGCCCTCATGCAATTCCCATTCAAACATAGTTTCAGGTCACTGAAATGAATATAAATAATATATGGGGAGAGAACTCTAGACAGTCACATTTCCTCCCAAATTATGTTTGCAGAGGCTGATTATGGTCATGGGACATCACCATATATTACACTGATACTCAAAAAATAAATTCAACTGGGGTAAAACCAGGAAGCTAACAGTCTCTGAAAATCTGCTGCTGCAACACACTTCAGCAACAAATGAAGCCTTGAGGAGGCATTTTCTCTCACAGTCAAGACATTAAGAATCTTCTACTCATTTTCAGGAGAAATACATGCTTCTTATCAGAAGTCAGCTGGAAGGGGTTTCCATTGACCAAATCAAGAATGATTTTAACATCCAAATAGATGACAGTAAATAATTATCTAACAGAAAATTTTTCTCACCTCTAATGTTCACGACCTGGACTGTGTATGAAATTTTAAAAAGGCAGATAGATTATCAGGAGAAAAAAATTTATATGTGCAATATGTATGCAATCATTGTTCTACAGTGGTGTGTAACTCAAAGGAGAAATTAGGACTTGGGGCTTATACATTATCACCTCATTATACCCTCCAAATGTATATCATTAAAATAATAAGAAAATTAGACAAATTTAGAACTACAGAAAAGGGAGGTTGAAAGGATACTAATGTGCAAATAAATGACATTCTTTGAAGACAGATGGATTTTCAAGAGAACAAACCAGAGATTAAGTCTGTGATAATGTCTGTGTATACCAGTGGCATTTCCATCACCTCCAGGGCCATAAACTTCCCGTGCCAAAAGGATCTGGGGTAAGTTTGTGCTCTGTCTTCTGGAAATGGAGCAGTCCTAAAGAGGAATTTAAGGCAGCCTACTTTCCAGGAGTTACTGCTTTTAGTCAGATATGTGAAAACTAGAAGAGTGGGTTCCCACACTTATAACCCATAAAATACTAAATGAATGTACACAATTCAATAGTTATTTAAATACATGAATTAAGGAGAAATAGGAGAAAGCTCTGTCTAATAGCGAATGATAGCAAAGAAATTGAAATAATGACACAAGAAATTTTTCTTATGGCTCTTGTCACTGTAATAGTTATCCCAGGTACAATGGTAAATTAGTTGGTGAAATTTATGGGAATAAAAGAAAATTTACACAGTTTGTAAAATCTAGCCAAAAGATACTTAAACAGATTTGAGTTTACAAAGCTTATATCATATCGACGCCATATACCTTCTGATATGCTGTACATCTGTGCTGTAGAGCCTGAAATGGATTTCTTGAGGAATTGTAAGACAACCAGAATCGAGGGCTAGTTTACAAAAAACTGGCCTGTATTATTCTTATGTGCTTAAAAACCACCTTAACTACACAAAGGAAAGACTGTAGAAAGCTGAAGAAGACTAAAGAAAAGTGAGATTAGAATGTACTCCATGATGAGAGATTTTTTCTTTCTATAAAGGACATTATTGGGGCAAATAGTAAAATCTAATCAAATCCTTCAGTTTAAATAGCTCCTTTAAGTGTTACTTTCTTGATTTTGACAATTATAACATTGTATAAAAGAATGTTTTTGCTTTTAGGAAACATATAGTAAAGTATTAAGAGGTAAGGAATATCATGTGTTCAGCTGACACTCAAAAGAGGTTAGGGGAAAAATGACACATGCGTACACTGCCATATATATGGAAAGAAAGAAAGAGGGCAAATGTGGTATAGGGTTAGTATTCGGGTAAAGAGTACACACACACTATTTGTAAAATTCTTGTAACTTGTCTACAAATATGAAATTGAAGCCAAAAAGGCAAATAACCAAACACAAACCTCTTTAAGCAAACAGGAATTAGTCTTGAAGCACATCTCTGGGGTACCCATGGCAAATCTTATAAGCAGCCCCAGGCTGGGTTTGTCTCCAGGGAGCTCATCTGTCTCCTCTGTCTTCCTCTTTATTGACTCAAGGTTGAAGACCATTCCATGGTTGGCCAAAGAGGGAGGAGGCTAAAGGAAAGTGGTTTTGTCTGCAAATGTCTAACACTATTCCAACAGAGTTGGAATAATAGATCTTTGAAATTTTGTAAGCTTTTTTTCTGCTGCCATAAATTTTATCCAATAATTTTAACATATGTGTTTGATTCGTGCTTGGGATAACTATTATAAGGGAGCTTTAGGGGGCAGGGAGAATGTGACTTCAGAATCTACCCATCAGAGTGTGAGGGAGCTGAATCTGTCCAGCCCCTGGCTGAGAGCTGCTTCCAGATGATGTAAGTTCTCAGTCCCTTCCACCCTCTGTTCAAGTGCAAGTGAAGGAAGCTGACCACCTTTGGCCTGTGGAGTCGGGTGTGCCTGCACTATAGTCTCAGGTGGAAGGGAATTGGAAGAATGCACCATACCTCCAGGGGGCAGTGTAAGCTTTATTTGACCCAACATATTCAAACACATGTACAATGGCAGGTGTGTAATCCTTGTCACGATTACACATGACTCCTCTTTCCTAATTGCACATTGTTCTTTCATCAATTTTTCCTAGAGTTATCTTTAAATGAACAATTGTGTCCTGGTCAATTTTTCAATAATAAAGTTTATACCTAAATGTCAAATAGTCTCCTCCAGTCAATGAGGTAAGGGGATTTATCCCAAATAACATTATCATTCATTGCAATATGTCTTCACCATTCTGCTTACAATATTTGTAGTTGTTAAAGCAAAACTAAACATTTGGTAAGGAATTTTTAATGGGTTTTGGCTTTGATGGCAATATCTACTTTCTCCAAAGTTTCATCCCTGGGTTTCAAAGTATTCAACACAAGAATAAAACTGCTATAATTTAGCTCTTCAAGGCAGTTTCCAAAGCCTGAGCTTTTTCTATGATGTTCTTCTGAAAAGGCATCATGAAGTCATCAAAGTCCACTTCATAACTGAATCTTTCTCGCCGCAGTTCCCGTTTCTGGATCATTTCTGCTGTGGTGGCTTCAGGACTCCAGACCTTAAACAGCCAAATCCACAACAGTGGTGAGTGTTATCAGCAGTGAATACAGTGGTAACCAGACAGTTTTAATTTAATTAGTCTTAAGTAAGTGCATTCTAGATATACGCTGCACCACTGAGTCACACCTTCAGCTTAACAAGCTTTCTTGAGAATTTTAACTGAAAGTCATCCCTTTTATATGAACCCACATCTTAACATTCTTCTCCTCTTACATGACATCAGTTGCATGAGTGTCACTGCTTCCGATGAGGATGCACTGGGAGCTGAGCTCAGCAGTGTCCCTCAGTTAGTCTTGGGCCAGACATATGTCATTTTTAGGAGATCAAAACAGGGAAGCAAAGGATTGGAAAATCACTGGTTTTCTACTTTGTATTTTATGTGGAAGGTGAAATTCTTTTCATAACAGAAAGAGGAGGAGTTCCTTTTTTCATATGATTTGATGGCCACTAAAAGGACAAGATCCTCCCAAACGTCTCCACCTCTTTAACTGCAGATGCTGTACGCAAGTACTTAATATTTTCAGTCTTATCAGTATTAAACTCCCAAGTAAAACAAAGATTGTAAGAAAAAGGGTTGCATTTGAGGAGTACCAAAACGAAATATCTATAGGACTTGATGAGAAAAGGGCTATAAGGAATGTCACTGATCAAAGAATTCAGTCTTTTAAGGAAAACTTAAACGTCAATGGAGAAATAGGAACAAAGGAAACCAGGATACTGGTAAGTAACAGCTGGGCTTGAAAGTAACTGGATCTGGCAAAAGGACATAGTAACTTGCACAAAGTAACTTGAAAGATAAACTTGGAACATTTGTTAGGATGATATGCACAGGAAACATTTGAAAAATGCCATTATGAGCTTCACCATGCTCTGGGGATCTTTCCAAAATGCTTACCCTTCGTGGAAAAAATGTGATATCTACTTTCTTGGTACTACCACTAGTAATCAATGAATTGAGATGAACCACATTATCTTTACGTTGTCTCTTCTTTTCTGTTACAGTTGGCACAGCATAAAGTGATGAAAGTGCTTCCTGAAAAGAGATTTTTAAAAATTAAAAACACAAGTACTCACTATCTGCTATTGTTTTTCTCTCTTATTCTGAAGTTATGGAGGAAAACAATCACAAATTCTACTCTACAAGTTATAATTTGAGATAAGATAGGATAGGATAGGATAGGATAGGATAGGATAGGATAGTTTTATATTTTTGAGGAGAAATAATTGTTTTGTTTAATTCATCTTAACTAGTCACAGATCAGGAAAGCCTTCAAGATACCCATTCTTTACCTGTAAGACTTCATTAATCAGAAGGATGGAACCCTATGAAATGATAATGCTGGGTAGAGTGAGAGCTTCTGCTCGTTGACCCTTCGTTGCTCCTTGCCATACTGATTATCATCCTTCGTATTTACAGCTCTGTGCTGTCTGCCTCCAATCCCTTTACCAAGTTACTTCCTACCATCTACATCCCCCAGTTTCTCAGTTTGATTGCATTAGAGCTTTTCTGCCTAGACTCTCACCCTGTCTTGGATGTGAACCTTCTGTTTCCTTAAAAGAAGCTCCTAGCCTAAAAACACACTTAGGATAGCCCTACTAATGGCAATCGCTTGAGGTCTCAGTAATTCCCATGGCCCACAACCTCAGCCTTCTGCTGGTGGTTCAAAGGTATGTAATCTGCTCTAGATTATCAGAGGCATCCAATGTGGTAAGTGAAAAACTTTATAGAGTTATTTTGCACGATATCCAAGTTATGAGAAATTCCACATTTCAGATTCAGTGGAATTCATTAAAATTTTCTGGTGCAGGAGAGGCAAAGTAGGCAACACTTATGAGACCAAAATGAAGAAAAATCATGCTTCACTTCATTCCTCATAAAGGCTGCCATTCTGTTCCCTGTTTGGGTTCCATCTCATCAAATTTGGACAGGTCAAGTCCAAATTATATGCATCCAGTACCAGTTTTTTTCGACATCTTAATTGTCTTTGGCTAAACCAGTTTGGGATTTGTGCAGAAGCACAATTTGCAATAAGCATGTTCTAGAGTCTTTAGTAATAGAAACTACTTTGCTAGAGATTTCTCTAAAAAACACTGCATCATAGTGCTCAGAGTATACATTCGCCCATGTTGTTATAATGATGTATAAATATTTCTGTTTTCTAGTCAACAAAATTTAAAGGAGTTATATTTACTAATGGCTTGTCAACCGGGTTTTTTTTACCTCTTCTTTCTTAATTTCAGGGCCTTCCATCTTCACTTTAGGAGGTGGTTTAGCTTTCAACTTTTGATTTTCTCCTGTTTTAGGCAAGTTATCTAACTTTTCTTTAATCAGATCTATTATTCTATAATCAGCATATGCCTTTGCAATATCCATGGCAGTGTGTCCTGTTTAAAACATAAGTTCAGAGTTATGATAAACAGATTTTGTGACAACCATGTTAAAATAATTCAGCATATTAGCTTCATCATATTAGCTTCCAAATCCTGTGATTTAAAATATATTTACTAGCATAAAAATTATTTTCTAACATTTTAAACCACATTTCTCAAAAAAAGCATGGGAAACAATAGACTACATTTTAATTTTCCAGTTCACAGTTCTTTCTCCACAGTGTACACCTTTCTTTTTGTGTGATAATTTTACCCTAGCTTTCACTTTCTATGAATTGGAAAGGCAAATTCCAAAAGGCCTGAGAAATCAGTGCAGAGAGTTCTTTCTGCAGGCACCTGGGTATTTCACTGTCTATAGCATCCAGCAGGTCTCAGTGTTGTGTTCCTTGTACACCATCAGGGAGACTGGTGAATGTTACCTGTGACCAGGGGCAGCCTGAAGTAAAAGAGGTCTGAAGATGATCAATGGGCTCTAATTAAGGAAACACCCTTAAACATAGAGCTCAAATATTTATTCAAATGATCTTCTTATTCTTCCTATATGGTATTTATGACTTAGGGAAAGCCACCTGCTTGTTTCCTAGGAGAAGGGAAGCCTCCATTCAGAATTCTTTTGTTCAAGTTTAAGAAGAATCAAAAGTTTACAGAGTTACTAGATGGCCAATCATTAGGAATTAAAAGTTGTGACAATGATAACTCAAGATGTGATCTGTATACCGGTGTAAGTCCAACCAAATAACTAACATTACTATGATATTACTATGTAAATTAAGCAGTTAGAAATTTTTACAGCAATTTAATAGAACAATTTATTTAAAAATTCATTAAATTCAGGGCCAGGAATCTAGCTCAGTGGTACAGGGCCTGCCTGGCAAGTGTGAGGTCTTGAGTTTGCTACCTGGTACTCCCCGCTCCATATCATTAAATTTGAATCTATTGATCAAAAAGAACTTTGAGTTTGTATTTTGTGTTTCTTTTCATTTCATTTTATAATAAACTTTCTCATTGTGTATTATAAAATTACTCAGCACATGACCAACTGCAAACAAGGAACTGGCTCTTTACAGCCCCAGGTATCAGACACAGCACCTGCAACGTTTAACTGAAGCTGTGTTTGCACCAGTAGCCCAGGGAAAAATGCAGTTCTACAAGAGAACTGGAATCTAACCTACCATCAGAAGTATGCACACATACCTTTCCTATTTTCCAGCTGAAATTTAGCACCAATATCAAGTAGATATTTTACAGTATCCATTCTACAGCTTTCAATAGCTCGGCTCAAAGGAGTGGAGTTGTTGATTGAAACTGCATCTATTGCAGCTCCAGACTTAATGAGAAGCTCCACGATGTCCTGCTGGCCTGCGTGACATGCAAAATGAAGTGGAGTCCACAGAAAATTATCTGTCGCATTAACATTTGCTCTGTAAGACAAGATAGATGTGCAGACAAAAAAATTTTAGTTTTCCCAAATGCTAGAAAGTAAAAAAGCAAAGTGAGATTTCATTTACAGCTTATCAAGTTTTAAATTGCAAGCTAGACAAGCTCTGAGTAAAGTCTGTCAGGATTTTTCTGGCAACCTGTTTGTTCTATGTTGTTTGGCTATCTTAACTTTCTATGTGTGTAGATATATTCTGTTTAGCTTTGAAAGGCATTTAGGTCCTAGAGAGCTCAGTTTTGCAAAGCTTAAAAATCAAGGAAAACCAGAAAACTGGATCCAGTAGAGTTGAAAACTGACAGACACATGTTTTATTATTCTACTTTGTGTCTATTTCTCTGCATGTTACAAACTTCTAAGTGAAATTTCATTATTAAAAATCTAACATTACTTAAAATTTTAGTCCCTGTTAGCATTTTGCTACCCAAAAGTTCAAGTTTTCCTTCGTTGCTTTATATACCTTTCCAGTCTTCAACATTAAGCATTACAATAATAACACTGATGTCTATTTTAAAATATACAATTACTATGCCAGTCAGTGCTGCACATATGTTAATTCCTCTAATTGTTAACAAATTCTGAGATGAGTCCCATTGGAGCCTTCATTACATGAGAAAACTTAAGACATAATAATGTTTTAAAAACCACCCCATTGATGCGACTATGGTAGAAGACATTAGACATGATCAATTCTTTTAGTAAAAAAAAAAAGTTACATGAAAAATGTCATGATTTGATATTTTATCTAAAAGTGAACCAAGAAAAAGCTTGCCCTCTTTGAGGTAGATACTGGGTGACAAAGTGACCAAAGTGTGTCCTTATTGATCCCAGTCAATGTGCATTTGTTTAAATTTGTTGAGATCCTCACAAACAAAAGGCAGATTAAAACATGACTCCACATCATCCAGGTAGGACACAGGTCAAACTGAGTTGTCCTGTCCATGACAGGAAGCCAGTGATACTCCATTAAAAGTTCCATCTCCTCCCTCAGTGAAAACTTGTGGGCCTTTCCTTTGTGCATAATTGTTACTGGCAAACTCTCTGTGCATACAGAGTTCCATATTTCCATTAGCCTGGGTTCTCATGCCAGATCTATTTACTGTAGAATTCACTGGTAAAGTAGCTGGCTACACTACAAAACTTTTGGAACTGAATGTTTCTTATGACTTCTTTTGTTTCCTTAAAACATGAAGACTCACAAAAATTTAAATTTCACTTAACCAAAAACATACCCTTTTTCAAGAAGAAACTTGACCACATCTAAGTTTCCACTTGCACATGCCATCATTAGTGGAGTCTTGTAATATCTGTCCTTCATATCCACAGGTACTCCTGACTCAAAAGCCTTTTTCAGAGATGCCAGGTCTCCAGCCTTGGTGATGAAATTAATATTCGAAAACATTTTTCCTGGTTCATCGATGTACCAAGCAGAATCATCCTGTAAGGGATGTTCAGGTGGGTGATCTTGGTTAAAGCGGGTGCAGTCAGTTACATTTTGGTAGGTTTCAATCATGTAATAGGGAAGCCCACCATCCAACCGGCGCGGAAACACATCTTCAGGAATGACGCACACTGGGAGGGGTATGACAACCTTGCCCTTCCTCCCCTTTTTTCCCATTCCCTTTCTCTTTTTCTTAGCTCCATAAGATCCCAAGACAAAAGACTTGCTTAAATATCTAGTTCCTTTAAAGAACTCATTAATGTTGACTCCTTCTCCCCGGGTTTTTTCATGAAGCTGTGCTATTGCAAACAGCTGTTCAGAGGTGGCATACTCTTGCCTCTCCTCCAGGGTCATCACAAAGTCTTCCTTGGAGACTGTACCATCACCCCTGTCCACAAATGAAAAGAGTTCTCGAAGAAAAGTCTCGTGTACTATGGACCAATCATGTAATCTGAGGGCCCAGAGTGGGTTAGGATTTTTGACTCCTGGTTTGGCCAGTTTATTAGCAGTTCGCTCTGCTCGACGAATTTCTTTGCTGGCTGCTTTGAAGCCACCATCTTTTGCCAAAGCCCTGGGCGTTTTGTGGTCTAAATTCTTCCATTTCAGGTCACATCCTAAAACAGGAAGTGCTGTTATTAGCAGTGGTATCACAGCATCTGTATGGCCCTACAAATGACCCTTATACAATGGTTTTATTAAATTTGAGAATTCCTCAGATGTTCTAAAATGTCATACACAGAAGAGCACATTTAGCTATTATAATTATCACTCAAACTGTAATTTCTTTTTTTGTGGGCTTCACTTTGGTGAATTCTGAGGGGGGCTAAGTTTATGATCCTTGCCTGCTCACAAAGAAGTAAAATATTTATCCCTCTATATAGATATTTTGGAAAAAATGTAAAAATTTAAAACAAATATTAATGGGGGCCCTTGTTGAGGGGACATTATGCCAGCAGAAAAATAGAGAGGACACACTGCCATTTGGGAAGAAAAATCTAGAATTAATACAGCTTACACAGGACCTTTTCAGCTCAGAATGCTAAAAGATACTTGCTTCTTCTGGAATGATTTAGAGTATAAATCTGTGTGTGATCTTTAATAATATTTTATGCTCTTCCCACTGGAGTAAGATAATTTATACTGATCTTATATTTTGTGGGAAAGTCATGTGAACAACTTTAACAGAGTAAAGTCTTAATTTGTTAATCAAATTCTAGGGTTCTAGCTTTATATTTTTATACAAGTTATACACCAAAATCCATTTTGCTTTTGGGTCTCTAACATAAAATGACAAGACCTACATTATTTGTAAATATTCCTCCAAAGAATTAAACTTTTTTGAGTACATCAGAGAATCTATTTAGGTGCTACCAAGAAGGCTGTGTCACCTATAATGAGTTTTAAGACATTAAAAAATCTATTTATATATATATATATATATATATATATATATATATATATATATATATATGTCATTCTGTGAAATAGCTCTTTCTGGCATTTCTGGCATAGAAGAAAATTTATCTGTTGTTTTGCCAAGATCACATAATAAAAAAGACATCTAATTAGTAATGCTAGCAATCAGATTTATAAGGGAACTATGTAGAAATAAAAACTACTCCTCTAGCACTTCATATTATTTTTTCTTGTCAAACATATCCTTGCCTTGATGGACAGAGTACTGTTCATGATACAGCTCTACTTCTATGTGTTTGAGAGAAGAAAAGGAAGCTCCAATATCAAAGAGAGAGAGAAGAAAGAAAAGGAAAAAAATTCACCAATGATTTTCAAGACAGTGAGGCTTATGAAAGTTTTGTATCAGGCAGTTTTAAAAACAATGAGTTACTCGGAAGTAGATCCTGATAATGCTCTCAATAGCAGAAATGTACAGAATATGAACTCCATAATGCAGTTCCTTAGTATTCCCAAAACCATGGTTTTCGCTGAACTCTTTTGCTTATTCATCACATCTGGGGTTTATCTAACCTCTCTCAAGCCACCCCTTTATATGCACTGAGCCTCCAGTTGTCAAGAATTACTCAGCTCCTCATGGGCTGCTGAGTTCCACTTAGTTAGGAATCTTCAGGTGGATAAAAGCTCCAACATCCAGCTGATCTGTAAAACCTGAAGGCAGTTTGCCCTTTCAGAGTTGGGATTTTCTGCCTCCTCCTTTATTATTATAGTCAGTCTTCCTAATTTATGAGGTCTACTCCTAGAAATCCAACCAACTGATGACACATAACATGGAAGAAAACTGCATCTACTGAAGTATATAGATGTTTTGCCCTGTGTATTACAGTATGACAGGTATTTACATATCATTACATGGTATTGGGTACCAAAAATAATCTAGAGATGATTTAAAGTATTCAGAAAGATGTGAGTAGGCTATGTACATACACTGCCCATCCTGTGTAGGTAATTTGGGCATCCTTAGAGTTTGGCACCTTTAGGCGTCCTAGAGCCAATCCCCCACCACTACAATAAATAAACACCCTTTCATTCTTGCCATGACTTAGTTCCTTTATAGTAAAGTTGCTCAGCTCTCTGCTGGCTTACACTGTAAAACAGGGAGACAAAGTCCCTGAAGAAGGAAAACTCTTGAGGCAGTCCAGAGACTCCCCAAACTGGGAGTGGCTCTCACACTGCTCACAGATAGCTGTAAAGTATTCCACCATAGAACCAGGTGCCAAAAGAATATTCTAAGCAAGAAATGGTCACATAGGAAAAAAATATATCCAGGAAAACTATTTTACATTTAAGCATAGAAGAAACTCAACCTGGGGCGTTTCTATAGACATGAGCATTTCAATGCTAGCTGTTTTTGGCTACTCAGATGACCTTAGATCTGAATTTAATGATGGAAATATACAAGGGATACTAACACTTCTGCTATGGAACTGGTCACCCATATAGGAGATAATGAAGGGTTTGTACTTCCAAACACTACAGATCTCTACACATTTCCAGACTTTTGCTTTACAAATAGTTTCAGAAGTCTCCCAGTAAGACAGAAGTTTTCTGCCTCATTGGTCAAGGCTTTTATGCATGAACCAAGTTCTGGCCCTTTGCTTCTCAATGCACTTTTGTGAGTGTGTTGCAAAAATACATAGAAGTTTGGGAATACATGGAGTGACATTTGTTCCAGTACAAAAAGTCATTGTGTTAAATTTGAAGAAATTTTTTTCAGCCTGAGTAGATTATGGATCTTTAGAAATGTAAAATGTTAAAGTGAAATGTCAGAATAAACTGCTAATAGTAAAATAAATTTGAAAGTAAGACCAATAAGACAGTTTGAGAACATAAAAATTACATTCAGTGTATTTTTCTTCCTTGCCTATTAAAAAGAATTATAATAGATGTAGAAAGAGAGAAATTATAAATTTATAAGAGTAAAAATGGATCAACTGTTATTCTGTTAGTCACATAGTCCTGTTAGTCTTTTTTATATCAGTAGTTACAGTGTAGAGAGTTATATCCATAGATACAGTGTAGAGTAGTGTAGGTTCTGGTGACATCTAAAATTCTCTGTGTGGAGAACAGAAAAACAAAGCAACTTCTTTACACTAATATACTACATGTTGACTTTAATTCTTGCCTATGTCTCATAAGCTAGAAAAAATATAAAATTCAGCATTCTATTTCTAATAAACTTTTAATGGAAATTCAATTAACAGGTAACAAACAGATGGATCCTTATATTTCAACTTATGTAGCTAATATTTTCATTTTAAGAATAATATTCTCATTATGCTATACTATACATAAGAGTTTATATTCCTGAATTAATAGTTACTTAAAAGCTATAAGAAAATCTAAAAAATACTGCTTTATGTTTCTATTTACCACAAACTTTTCATTTTATTTCATGTCCTCTCCTCCTCCAAATATTGATCCCTATATTTGGAAACTATCCAGAAAGTTGACAAAAAAGAACATTTTAAAAAATATATACTATTTAAAATTTTGCACTAAAGGAAGTAATTTTCAATTTTTATCCTTTTTTAGATTGATGTTGGCACTCTAAGGAACTTAATCAACTTAAGCATTTTTATAATTAGTTAACTCAGAATGATAACCTTAGTCTTTTAACAGTAACCGAAACCTTTTGGAAAAATAAATGTTCATCATTTTTAATACTAGATTCATGATTCAACAGAAGCTGGTATAAGAAAAAATTTCCAATTTTCTTTCTCTACATGAGTGAGCTTTTGCTATTGGAAAAGATAAGTAAATGACAAGTAACGAGCCACAATTCTCTGCTCATCTGTGACACTGGTAAACCATAAACACTTTAGGTGAAAAATTCTTAGACAGTTTACCTCTTTGAGCTACGTATTTACAGCAATCAGCAAAGCCCCCCATAGCGGCATAATGAAGTGGTGTGTTCCCATTCATTGCAATCATCCCCACGTCTCCATTGTATGCAAAAAGAAGCTTCAATATCTGTAAAACAAACAGTGGACATTGTGGGGTACTGGGAGTGGATATTTACTGAAAGACGAATAGCATCTAGACCTACACTGAGCAGCACATTGCCTACTAACCATCTGTGACTGTTGAAAGCTCAAATAGAAATGAATTTAATTTAAAACAGTTAAAAAGCTTAGTTTCTTAGTTTTATCAGCCACATTTAAAGTGCTCAAAAGTTCTATGTGGTTACTGTATTGTGCAGCTCAGATTTGGACACTTCCAACATGGCTCAGTATTCTATCAAACAGCTTTGATCCAAAGAATGTAGAAAGCTACAGTCATCTGAGACACTCTCATTTTGGGAAATGGAGGAAATTTCAGAAAGCAGAATATGGCAAATATTATCAGGGGTGCAAACTATTTACTTAATGTGATCTGGATTACTAGGTATGCTTTTATTTCCTAAAAGACTCCATGAAAAAACAAAGGTAACTATGTTAAATAAATCTCAAGGAAAACTGAGTAAAGACAGATGAAATTTAGATTTTTTTTAAAAAAAGATGAATGTTAATTCTTTGTTTCTGCGGTGTCATTGAGTCTTTTTTGCTTTGTTTTATTTTGGTACTGGGAACTGAACTCAGAACTTTGCACTTGTCAGGCAGGTGCTGTGCACTGAGATATATACCTGACCCATCATTTTATCTATGAGATATTCTTTGCTAAAATATGAGGCAATTTATCATTTAAATTAGTTAAAATTCAGATGTATCATTAGATACACATAAATATCAAGGAGATGAGAGTACAATGGCCTTGTTCTACTCACAAATGAGTCAGACTACATTTTGACAATTCTGCTACATAATGAAGACTTAAAGTAGCATAGCCTGGGGTGGCAGAAATTTTAACCATCAGAGTCAAATTACAGAAAAAACTATTACTAGCAATATTTAGTAAATAGAATAGCAAATAGATAAAATGGAATAAAAAGCTGGAAGATGTTGTGAAAATCAAATTTGGGGGAAAAAGAGAAAAACAAAATAGATATCAGAACAAAAATCTGTCTCAGTGAAATCTATAGGACACACACCAATGTTGAGAAAAAAAAGAGAAAATTTTAGAAACAAAATTAAGAGCATATTGTTACATCAAAAAAGCCTCCTTTGGCAGCAAAATGAGCAGCGTGATGTCTATCATTGTCAAACGTGTTCACTATACCGCCTCTTTCTAATATTCCCCGGACTAATTCCGTCACTCCTTCTCTCGAGGCCTCCATTAAAGCTGTGCGACCTGTGGACTGGAAAGGAAACAGTTCAAATGCTGCTTGTACGGTCCCTGTCACATTAAATAACATATTCAATAGAAATAGGGCTTCAATGCATTTGACCTTCGCCTTATACTGATAAGTTTAGTTCTTTGCATTTTCACTCATCTTATATAACCAAGAAGTATTAATCAACACAATGAGTTAATTTCTGAAATGTGCAAGAGCCGAGCATGGCTCTGGCTGTGAAAAAGGACCTCATACTAAAAAATGCATTTCTTGCATAGAAAGCAGAACAGAAAGGCAACACTGAGGGTAGAATATGCCCTAAATTAGGTCACAGATGTTTTCTAATGGAAAATCTATTTTTGCATGTGTGTATTGGGAAATGACAATCATAAGAAAAGTAAACAATAAAGTTAGCCAGTAGAGGAAAAGAAACAAAGGGCCTATGAGAAACAACAGACTACATATTTTTGCTCCAAGAAGACAAAGTTTATTAGACAGCAGGAACACAGTTTCTACTACTTCCTTTAAATATTTTCACATTATTCATAGTAAGTACAAATTTTTCTAGCATAATTAGGAAATAGACTGTAGGACTGTGGCAACATAAAGATAATAAAAATTTATCATTTTCAAGCATTTTGAGTCAAACTGAAAAATATATAAGCTAACGGTAATTTTCCCGTATTTAAATGCAAATATTATACTATGACACTGTTATAGAATAAAGAAGTATTTATGGTCATAGGAATAGTCATACTGAGTTCATAGCATTGGCATTGGCTCCTCTTTCCAGAAATGTCAGGCACATCTCTTTAACGTCATGGGCTTCCTCACAGGCCCTAAGGAACACTGGTTTCCCATCATAGGTAGAGTTGTTGACATCCGCACCATGTTCAAGGGCAATCAAAGCACAGCGATAATGCCGCTTAGTAGGCAAAATGCAGTAAAACAAAATACCTGAAGAAAAGCAGAAATTTCCAAAGAGAATTTAATTAGTAACCTATGTGTATATTTGAACCTGATAGAAAAAAGGATAACAAAACCCATAGTTAACCAGTTAACGATATCAGAGCAAAGGCATAATCTGCCTTGGTCTCCCTTCTGAAGTCAGTTAGAACATCAAGACAAAAACATAAAGAGGAAATCTTCGATAAAGTTAGAAAAGAGTTACCACTGAATGTTACACGACCTGTTCAGAGAAGACTTGGAATGTTGGCATAGAGCCCTTGTCAATCCTGGAATTTGGAATGTCTGTTCCATACCCCACATGTCTCTTAGAACTGCAGGGCAGTATGCGCCAGAGGACTTGAACCCATGTTTGTGAGGAGCAGACTCTCAAAGTGAAATGAACATTAGAAGACACTTGTTTTTTGCCATATTAGCAAATCATTTTGTTCCACCAGTGAGAAAAATGCTAAATTCCTACACTAAAGACCTATAATATATGGGCCCTCAACATAATCCATGTCAACAATGCACTACATATGAGAGGTATTGTTTATAATCCCAAAGGAAAGTGTTAAGAAAATACTAGGTAAACAACCACCAAACTCTAAATTGACTTTCTAGTAATCTCACTCCAAAAGAGGTTTCATTCAAAGAGGAACAATAGCTAAAAAGAAATCAGCATGTGATCTGTGAAAAAGACATTATCAGAAAGGTAAGCAACTATAATGAAATCCATGTAAATAATATACTCTAGCAAAATTATACCAAGGATTTATTTATAAATATCTCAATGTGATCCTTCTTTATAGCTGAATAGTACTCCATTGTATAAAAATACCACAACTTTTTTATTCATTCCTCAGTTGATGGACACTTGGGTTGTTTCCAAGATCTGGCAATTACAAATTGTGCTGCTATAAACATGGGTGCACATATATCACTGTGGTATGATGCTTTCAGTTCTTCTGGGGATATGCCTAGAAGTGGGATAGCTGGAACAAATGGGACTTCCAATCCCAGCTTTTTGAGAAATCTCCAGACTGACCTCCACAATGGTTGCACCAGTCTGCACTCCCATCAACAATGCAGGAGAGTTCCTTTTTCCCCACAGCCTCTCCAGCATTTGTTGTTGATGGTTTTCTTGATCCTGGTCATTCTTTCAGGAGTGAGATAGAATCTCAGTGTGGTTTTAATTTGCATTTCTCTAATGACTAATGATGATGAACATTTTTTCGTGTATTTATTTGCCATTTGTATTTCTTCATCTGAGAAGTGTGTATGAGGTATTTATAAATAAATGAATGCAGCTTGAGACCATACTCGTAAGTTAAATAAATCAAACTCACATATGAATACCAAATAGTTTCCCTATTGTAAGAAATGATTCAAATATATAAAAGTATGTGGTAATCATGATCCCCCATTATGTGGCTTTGAAGCCTTATAAAGCTTTATTCTGGGCTGTTTGATATTATTGCCTGTGATGATATGAACAGCTATTTTGAAGAAAACAAGACATCATAATAGCTAGTGTTGATTTAATATCATCTTGTTTTGAAGTCCCACCAAACTGTTGTTCTGACCTGTATTGTTATGTTGTTATGTCCTCTTTTATCTCAGTCTTCCCTTTTTTAAAAAAAATATTTATTTATTATTATTTTTTAATTAAGGGAAAAATTTTAAAAATTGGCAGGATATATTATAATAACTTTTTTGATTTCCTGTTAACTTGATTTGAAGCCCTATATTGCTCCTACCATCTTGTTTTGACTGATTTTACTCTGTTCTGTTCTGTTTGATAGTATCAAGTTTGAGGTTATAGGCAGCTACTTTGAAGGCAGTAAGATTTACTATGACACCCATTCTGGTTTGACTATTATCTTCTTTTGAAGTCCTGTACTGTCTCCAATGTTAGGTTTTATTGGTCTTGTTCTGTACTGTTTTGTTCAATTTTGTTATACCTAATGATGTAGGCAATTCTTTTTAAGGTAGCAAGAGGCATTATGGTAACTATTATTGATTACCTTGTATTCTGTTTTTACATCATGTGCTATGTACATCCTTTATTTTGACTGACTGCTTTGTTTTGTCATATTTGGTTTTATTCTCTTGCAAAAAAAAGTAATAAGAACTATGGGAGTAATAAAACCCAAAATGTGTAAATGTTGTAAAAAAGTACTCTAAAGGATACAACTGCAAGTGTGTTTAGGTGTGTTAAGATAGATAACCATATTACTAAGTTTTTGTTGGATCACTGAACACAACTGTTTGCAGTCTCACTGTTTGAATGTCCACTTTGAATGCTTTTATCCTGTAACTTGAACAACTATTGCTAAGATGACAATATGTAATCTATTAACTAGTGATTTCTTACTGGTTTTTTTGAAATTCTGTGTTACTTGTACCCTTATGCTGTTTTGTTTTTTCCTTTAAATAACATATATATATATATATGTTATAATATATATATATATATATATATATATATATATATATATTACCAAGGAAAATTATTGACTGATTCTATGTTAACAAAGAAATTACATAGAAGTACAAAGATAGACCAAGACCAAAAAGGACTAAAGAAAACAGACGATGAATAGAAGGAAAAGATTTAATTAAACCAAAAGAGTCAGTAGAATAAAATCCACCAAAGAAATGAAAGTCAAATTACGAACAGAAACAAGGACAACAGACAGACAGGAATATGGAAAAGATCTAAGATAAATGTGATTGGGATGACTGGAAGTTTGAAACGGTCTATAGAGACAAAGATGGTTCAATATGTTATGTAATTGGTTTCTAATAATAAAAGACCAAAGGGAACTGAAAAATTATACGGTATAATAAAAGGTTTTCTTAAAGTGAAAAACCTGAATCTGAAGATTAAGAGGGTATTAGGAAAATTGAGTAAGAACAATTAGTAAGATAAAGTGAGGGACAGTCTGTAAAGAAAGTTCTCTGTGAGGATTCAGGCATAAACCTGGCTCATGTATAATACAGGAAAGCTAGGCTAGCCACAGCGATGCTCTACACTGGAGGATAATTAAACAGAATCTCTACAATGTCACTGTGGAAGAAAATAGGAAATTTTTATACCCACTCAAGTTGCTGATTATACATAAAATCGCTAGAAGATTAAAGATGCATGAAACCATGAACATAAACCCTGAAGAGTGGTCAAACTACTTTGATGGTAAAGTGAATCTGCCAAGAGATCAACTGAGAAAATATGACTGAAATAATTTCCTCAATATAAAATCAACTCATCTAAGGAATTCTAGATACATAAAAGAACACTGTAATTCATTACAATGTTCAAATAATGTAATTCAACAAAACTTTGGGGGAATAAAGAAAAGGATAGAGAACATAAAGATTCAATTTTTACAACAAATTCAGTGCTGGAGACTGACTATAAGGAGATAAAGCTAAGGGCAGGTCTTATCTAAAAATATAAAAGAAATCATTGAAATAAGTAAGTGATTGTAACAGATGATAAACTTGGGTGGTGAGGGGAAGGCACACAAGGTCAAAGTTTATTATACTACCACAGCTTACAGAATTAAGTGCAATAAATCACACAAGTTTAAATATCCTATCTTTTCTCTAACATGAGAAGCCCAGACTATAGATAAAGGGCAACAAATAAAAGAATAAATAATAATTAGTAGGGAGATCTTTTTCAAAGGGGAAGGGGAACCAGATGGAGGGAAGCAAAGCAAGGGAAAAAGAACTAAAGAAAGAGCGAATGGAAGAGAAAATTGGAAATAAGTAGGGGGAGGATCAAGAGTTGGAGGAATCAGGGAAGGACTGAGGGGGAAGAAGGCAAAAACAAATTAAGAAGTGTCCTGCAGGGGAACAGATTCCCCATGATAAATGTAGTCATTATGTACTGATGAAAACTACATTAAAATGAACCAACAAATCCAGATAAAGATAATAACTCAACAACATGCTGAATGGTATAGAGAGCTATTGAGTCAACCATCAAGAAAACTACAAATAGAAAGTGCAACTAGAAAGAAAATATGTGGAGCAAAATAAGATGTCCTATAAATATCTCCATATACTGAATATATTGGATCTTTATACTATGAAATAAATGACAGATCTGAAGCCAAACTGATGGGACATATAGAAAACAAAGTGAATAAATTTCATCATTAAATTAAAAAAATGTAACTTATATGAGATAAAAACCTACGTATTTTATATAAGCAGATGCACTTAAAATCTGCTATTGAGAACACTTAAAGGAAGATAGGTCTGAGGATAGAGCTCAGCGGGAGAATGTTTGCCCAGCATCCGTGAGGCACTGGATTTTATCCCTAGCAAGAAAAATGACAAAAACACAGCTGAAAATAGAAAATCAAAGGGCAAGACACAGACAGCAAGACTGACCGAAACAACCACAGCATAGCAGTAATAAATAAACACTAAGCAACATAAGGTTAAATTTCTTTAAAAAGGCCCTCTTTAAGCCATGAGCATTTTGTAATGATGACATACACAATTCTGTTAGTCTATGTGGGCCCAGCTTAAGCCTGCAGCACATCTCATATCCTTTAAAAGCCAGTTCAGTGTTTGCTTATCCTTCAGAAACAAATGTGTAGGAGTCAAACATCTGTCACCAGGAAATATGATGCTAGTGGTAGAGTGATAACTGCAGGACAAGCAAAGCAGTTAGGAAGTGGTTACCAGCCAGAGACATGCAAGCTGAATCAGGCATGGCATGGGAGACGAGAGACCAGGTCATAGGCAAACCAGGAACCACCAGCACTGGCTGACTAGGTTACAGTGAAATGAGAGTTTACATTTATTTCAAGTTTCATGTTATATTTTCAATCTTTTCCTATATGATTTCTCTAATTACTTTTGAAAAAAATATTTGTTTTTCAGAACCGGAATAGGGTTAATGTGGATCTGAATGAGCATAAATGTTAACAGTATGATTACTGCCTTTGCTACAAATACAGAGGTGATCTTGTTTTTATTTTCATTTGACTTTTAAAACTTTATAATTTTGATCTCTTTGTGGTATAAATTTTTTCAATATTTTTTAGTAATTTATATGTGTGCTCCAGTAGAGTGTTTCTCAAAACTGGCTTTACAGAACCCCAAGTATACTTGATGCTCTATAGGAAAACTATTTCATGGTCAAACAAATACAGAAAATGTCACCATTTTTGGCCTGAAACAAAGAAACATGACTGAATGCATTCTATTCAGCGATTCTCTAAGGAACTCAATGGTGGAACCAGCTCTGCATGTACCATTTCTTGATATCCCAGTGATTCCGTGGTCCATGGAGCACACTTTGGGAAATGATATTCTATAAAACTTTCAGAGCCTTCTGTTGTTCCAAGATTTAATCTTTTATAGTACACTTGATCTCTACATGCATCTGGAATTTATTTTGCTATGTGGCTTTATTAAATAACTTTTCCTTGTTCTTAACTCTTGCTTTAAGCAAGGCATCTATCAAATACCAAGTCTGGAGAGAATTACAAAAGTAGACTTTGCTCCTGTCAGAAAACATTAGCATTATAAAATAGGATTCATTTCTCCAGTGCCAGGCTGAAATTAATGGTTTTGCATTTGTAGCAATTCTCTTGGACAACTGATTAAATCTACCAATTTATATTAAGTCTGCTGTTAATTATTGTGGTGTTTTTCTTGTGGCTAGGGCAAATCTTGCCTGAACTTCAAGGTATTCAGGAAAGAAACCTCATACCATGGTCCTGACATGGGGCTAAGGAGAATAGAGGGTGTAGGAGTACAGCTCTTTTCAGCTGAATAATCCTCCAAATGTCATGTCTAGCATTTCAAGTCAAATCCAAATATTTAAAAAACTGTTCCTAGAAGCCTACCTGACTTCTTGTGAGCCTGATGGAGAAATATAAATATCACAAGTTCAAGACCAGCCCAGGTAACTTAGGGAGATTCTGTCTCAAAATAAGAAATAAAAACCTCAGTGGTGGAACACTGCTGGGTTCAATTCTCCAGTATGAGAAAAACATGTAATTCTGGAAAGTTAGAGTTTATGCCAGAATCCACCTTAATCCTCTTAAATTCTAAAATACATCAGATTGCTACTGAGAAGAGATAAAATTTGTTTGGAGTCCTAAGTCTACTACTTTCCAAGTCCCTAATAGGTAAGGAAACTTTTCTTCTAACAAGATTTTATATTTTGTAATAGGTGATTGACTGATTACTATCAGTCAATTATGAGTAATTTTGAAAATTCTCCTCATTTAAAAGAAGCCACCGATTACAGATTAGTCCATTTGAATTTTCTTTTTAAATGATCAAGCTATCAAAACTGTTTTCCGTAAGATATACCAAAATTGTTTTCAAATAATGAGGAGTCAATATCCTTAGGTACAGGAATGAGCATGGAGCCTCGTACTTAAAACCACAAGTAACACTTCTAAATTTGGAAAACAAAACAAAAACTCCCTCATAAATCCACTGTATTGATATCTGGCTACAAAGCAAGTTGCTTTTTGCCAGATAGAATGCTACGACATTTTACCTTTTCCTTCATTATCAACTATCTTCATGTCAGCCTTTGCTCTGGCTAATACTTCCATTGACAATTCATGGCCCAGTTCAGCAGCCCGCATTGTTGGAGTGCAGCCCTTATGGTCTTGCACATCAGGGTGAGCTCCAAGTTCAAGGAGAAAGGTGACCATATCGACGTCATTGGAAACAGAGGCTAAGTGCAGAGCACTAATTCCATCCACAGGGTCTGTGAAATTGATCAGTTGCGGGTATCCAAGCCTGGTCAGCTTCTCAATCTGTTTCTTGTTTTTGTTCCGAACACACTGTAGAACTTTGTAGATCTGCAAGTTCTCAAGTCTCTTATCTGCTAAAGCCATGTTTGACTGGCTTCCAAAAGATGCTTGTTTTCTAGTCTAAAACAAAAACTACAACAGCCAAAAGAAAGAAAGAAAGAAGCAAAGATAGAAACAATAAACAAAAATCAGTATTAAAGGGCCAATTTTATCTTTATTCTTTAATTAAAAATATTTTAAAATCTATGTCCTTGGATGAGCAGCTATTTCTCAGGAAATGTCCTCATGGTGCATTGCAACTGATTTCAGAAAATTCAAGAATCACATATAAACTTAAAAATATTCAGTTGCCATAAAGTATTTTTAAATTCATAATCAACACTAGCTTGCAAGATCAGTGTTTTTTTTTTATCTCATCTAACCTCCCCTCTTTAAAACAGCTTTCCCATTTTGTCCTGGAGAAGGCGAGATTAACTAAGTTGTAGAGTTCCTACCCGCAAAGCTTCCTATTAGTAATATGTTTTCCATAATGCAGAAACCACACAGGCCTCACAGTTTTGAAAGATCATACAGAATTTATGGAACTTTGAGGTGCTTAGCTTATTTGATATAAATAAGCTCTTCTGCGCTCTATGAGACGCTGTGATAAAGAATACCTGAGTCATTTTAAGTAGGAAGGAGGCACTTAAATGGCTTTAAAGGCAACTACAAATTTTCAAAAACAAATTATCATGTGCATCCTAGTAGGTAATTCTATTTATTTCCACTGTTTATGGAAAAAAAATCAAAATTTTGCATTGCGTAGTGGGGATAGTAAGAATAGTATGCCTGGATTGCTTTTCTTCCTTTGCTTATGGGGAAAGAACCTTGAAGAAGCCATTCTAGGTACTGGGGAAGGCTCTGGGACTTAGGTGAGGCCCAACTGAGTGATCCATTTCTCTCCTGGCACACGAGATTGCACAAGCATATTTTCACAGCAGATATCAGATGTCACATTCTTCTGCCAGTACTGTGTAAAAAGACCATTTCTGCCAAAGTTGTGGAACAGTGGGGTATGGAACTGGGGCTACAGGTGGTATCCTAGCCATCACAGAGAGAGTACAATTGCAAAGGTGGAGAGGAATGGAGATTGTGGCATCAGTTTTACCCTGGATTCCACTGTGCCAGAAGCACACCCCACATTATAGTAAGTAGTAAGTAGTAAATATTACAAGTAGTAGCTGAGCTCCTAATATTTGCAGTGGAAAGGTTCGTTTCACTACAACATCTGCCAGTGCAAACCTGTTCTCTCTCCTACATTCTCCATGGCAGTGACTTGCACCATAGGCCACTTTCTCCTTCTTTAGAGATGTTTCTCTGGGCAGCCAGACAGTCTCCATGGTCATTTCTATTCTACACCACTACGCACTCTTCCTCAGTCTCCACTTCTGGCTCCCTGTCTTCTGTCAGACACCTCACCATCGCTGTGTCCAGGATGAGCTCACCAGCACTCTGTCTGTTCTTCAGCTCACCCCATCTGCTGACCTTCAGCCCGATTTTCAGCTTCTCATCATTTTCTCTCAAGTTTATGCAGGCATTGCTGACTCTGCCCTGAATACCCTGTAATACTTTCATTCTCTTGAATGGTTTTACACTGTCTTTTTATGTTTCATACTATAGTATATCCAGGTATACTCAAATAAGGAAAGAGACACTATTGTAGCTACTGTTATGTCGGACTGTCTTGTGGTGAAACACTATGTTGCTTAAATTGTTCTGTTCTGACCTGTGTTGTTATGTCCTCTTTTATCTTAATTTTTTAAATAAAAAAATAAGTAAATTCATAAAAAAAGTTATATATTTAGCCAGGCATGGTTGTGCATTCTGGTAACCTCAGTGACTTGGGAGACAGAGTCAAGAGGATCATAAGACCAAGGGCAGTCTGGGCAACTCAGGAAGACCTGATTTCAAAATGAAGCTAAAAAGGGGCTAGGGTACTGTAGCTTAATATTCCCTGAATTCAATGTTCAGTATCACCGAAAGCTATATATTCACTGTCTGTTCTTCATTCTCATATGGATGTCAAATGTAACATGTCCACAGTAGAACTCTTTTATGTTTGTTTGTTTGTTTATTTTTTGTTTTGTTAAGCAGTATAGACTGAACCCAAGGGAGCGCTATGCTGTAATCCCAGCTCCCTTTGTTTTTGGTACTAGGGATCGAGCCCCACCTCTTTGCACCATACTACATCCTATTCCTTTTTTAAAAAATTTGTTTCAAAGACAGGGTCTTAATAATTATTGTTTCCCAGGCTCATCTTGCATTTGCAACTCTCCTGTGTTAACTTCCTGAGTAGCTGGGATAGCAGGAGGTGCCACTGCACCTGGCTGTCACCTGCTTTTCTCAATTTCTTTTGATTTCTGATGATAGCATTAACATCCACCCGCTTCCTCAGATTAAACACTGGAGTTACCCTTCATTTTTTCTTTGCCCCTCTGACCTTCATCTTTAAATTCATCAGGAAATCACATTCAGGAAAGTCACATCCGCTTGCCTCCGAGATACATCCTAACATCCACCTACGCTACTATCCTAGACCAAAGCATTGCCAGCTTCTAATCTGTCTCAGTGCTTCTACAATAGTCCCACATTGTTCATCCTCTAAAAGGAAAAGCATTTTTTAAAGTGCAGATCAGATAAAATTCTACAGGCATTACTCCCAACATTTTAATATATTATTAAACATGAAAGGTGTGTTGAAAACCTACATATCCACCACCAAGATCCTACTAACAATGTTTGGCTAGCTTTATTCCTTATCTATCCATCTCTCCATCCACTTACCCAGTTTTCTTTTGGATTGATTTCTCAATAAACTGCAGACATATTTCCCTCCCACACACATATACTTAATGGAATCCAATAATGTTTATGCTCGTTTTCTCATATTTTTAATATATAATAAAATGCACAAGTATTAAATGCACCATCCCATTTATTTGAAAAATGCACACACGTGTGTAGCTGAAACTCCTTCAAGTTACACAATGTTCCTTTCACACCCCAGAGTACTCTATACGTACTTGAAAATTTTTCCATAGTCAGAAAAAATCCCAACACTGTGGTCTACTAAGAACTTTCCCTGCCCTCTGACCTTACTTCACCCCATTCCCCCTTGATTTAGTGATCATGGCCACACTGGCTTTCTATGAATAAAAACTCCTGCCTTCCCCTGGAAGTTTGTGCTTCCTGTAGCTTCTGCCTAGAAGGGCTCTTTGCTTTGAGTTCAGGTTTTCAAGAACATGTTACTTCTTCTGCTTATTTTCTCCAAAGCACTTATTGCCTGAAACTATTTCAGATGGACAGTTAACTTGTGCATTGCATGTCTCAACCACTGGATCTCATTTATTCTTCATGGAACAGAAACATTATTTTGGAAATATTACCATTATTTCACTGTAACCTAAAGCCTGGCCCGTGGGAAGCATTCCATAAAGCTCCCAATAAATTATAACCAAAAGCTAAAATTTTTGAAAAGAAGGAACCAAAGGAAACTGTCACATTCCTGGTTTGAATGACTGTATACTTGTGTATGACACAGGATGTTTCTGAAGGTTTCCATATTGCTCAGGTTAGTATAGACAGTTAATTTTGAGGTGGTTAAGTTAGAATCCACAGGCCATGTTCAATCCAAGAAGTCAGGAGAGAGGGCTGAGTCTAGTGTGTGGGGGAGTTTTCTGGAGTTCTGAGGCCTTCAGCCATGGCTGGGCAGCTGGGATAGAGAAGTCAGGAGAACACCACCACCAAAGTCAAATATGTTTGCTGTGTCATCCTTTTTCTCCTTGCTCTCTGGCTTTTTCTCTGTATTCCTCATTGCTGCAGGGAAACCAGCAGTGTCCATGTGGCTTATGGCTTCCCTGTTCTATTTGCTGTCACTGCTCACTTCCTTTCCTCTCTCCTTATAACATATGATGGACTAGAAGCCAGGCAGGGCAGCTCATTAGATTACTGTATGCACAGGCTCTGTGCAAAGCCCTCAGGTTGCCTAGGTCATCCTCTTGTCCTTTGCCGCATAGCCTGATGACATTTCGGCTGTGGTTTATGGCTGTTCCAGGTGCAGTGACATATTGCATGCGTACGTACGTCACAAATGGATTTTATAAGATGCTCCTAAATAGCTTACTGATTGTACAAAATGGATGCCACCTCATTTGTGAGGACGAGGACTTCCTAATCAGAGATTTCAGTGTTGTTTCTGATGTCATTCATCCCAAACAAAGCATTGGCAGCATGTGACACTGTGCAATCAAGTGGCAGTGATGAGACCAGCAGTGTGTGGGTCAGTTTGTTATGAATCACACCCTCCCAGTTAATGCAAAGATTGAGCAGCATTCTGGACCACTCTGGACTATCAATTACTAAGACTCACGCTAGAGCTTCTGGGAACCTGGAGGTACAAAAAAAAGATCCTGTCCATAGCTCTGGGTTCCAGAGTTTTCTTCACCAAGACGCTGGGCCACCTTGGTGTGCATGGACTATACCCAATCTCAGTGGAAAGAACAGAATGTCTTATCTTGATTGAGGTCCATGGTTGGGTCTGAAAACTCTGGAATTACATGAAAGCCTGTGAGAATGCATAAACCCAGATGTATTTTGCCTCTATGGAGAGAGACTCTTAGCAACTTTTGGAGTTCTCAAGGGAGGCAGAGTCATGGCAGGTTCATTAGCAAGATAAATGGAGGACAACAACAGAGGTACCCTGGAAAGAGTGCAGGATTTAAGGGGAGAACCTGCAGTCATTTATTCTCCTCTACCTCTTTATTTATCTCACCTGGCTGCATAGACAGATAAACCTCCTAGTCCGTACTTCCCCTTCTGCATCTGTGAATTGGGGGTTACCACAGTACCTATTTCATGGGATGGATGAAAAGCAGCTCAGATGACTCTTGCAAAGCCCCACCTAGCAATGTCCTATGGTGCAGGGTTGCTATGAATCAGTTAAAACTTCTGTGCTTTCTGCTTACTGTAGGGCACAGTTTACATTCTGAGGGTTCTCTACTGTGCCTTTCAGTTTTGTCAGAACAATCTGGAGGGGAGAAGAATGGGGACACATTTAATTTCAGAGGCCGCGCGGCATTGCCAAGGCACTGATCTCACCTGTTAATGGTGGGGGCGATGGAGAGCTGCGGATCTCAGGGCACCTAGGCCTCTGGGCCCATGAGAGCGTCCTAGAGGACCAGCCTCCTTCTCTGTGGCCTGGCTTCGTCCCCAGCAGCGACCTTGGGCTCCAGAAGTCCTGCTTGGGCCCCGAGAATTGGCCAGCGTCTCTCGGAGCAGAGAGGGCCAGCTGGCGCGTGTGCAGCAGGGAAGGGCGCGCGTGTCCATGAGTCCCGGACCCGCGCGGGGCAAGCGAAGCCAAGACAGAGCACAGGCGGGGCGAGGACCCCGAGGCCCAGCCAATTGTGAGCGATGGCCACGCCTGGCCCAGTTGCCAGGCAACCGTCCAGGTGCGCTGCTGGGAGGGGCTGCCCCCCAGCGGGCCAGAGTGCAGGATGCTCCCAGGAGAGCAGGGACTGGTGGGGGAGTCCTGCAGGAAGGTGTTGTCTCCAGGACGTTCTTCCATTCTTTTCTCCCACAGCCCGCCTTAAATCAAAGCATAATTTAATTAGAAAAGTAAAACTGCATATGGTGAAAAGCACCCACTCCAAAACAAATAAAAATAAAATGTACAATAAAATAGTTTAAAAAGTAAATTTAAACTAAAAACGCAACATAAAGGAAATAAAAGAAAAAGGAATCTATTTTTAACTGCTGTAGATTCTTTAAAATCTTCCCAGAATTGTTCTCTCCACGCTTTAGAATTCATAATACTTTATATTTATACACAAATGACAATGACTATCATAAAGACAATTTTATTTCACAGTCCACAAATGCATCGTAACACCCCTTGCTCTCCCTCTATACACACTCTCTTGGAGGAAAATTTGGCAGCTTCTGCTTTTGTTTTGTTTTAAGTGAAAGTAAACCATGTGTGTTACTTACTTATGTATTTAGCTCCTTATTCATTTTTCCAGTACTAAAGGTTGAACCCCGCAGTGCACTTTCACTGAGCTTTCTGTTTTTTACTTTGAGACAATATCCTGAGAAATTGATAAACTTTCCAGACTGGCCTTGACTTCCTATCCTCAAGTCTCAGCCTCCTGATTACAAGGGCACACCATGGCAAGTGTGCACCTCTACCCCTGGCCTGTTTGCTCTGAGAGACAGTGTCTCTCCATGTTGCTCAAACTTACTTTGAATTCCTGGGCTCAAGTATCCTCCTGATCCTCCTGCCTCAGTTTTCTGAATAGCTGGAACTACACATGTGTGCCTCTGTTCCTGGCTTATTTCTTTAAAATGTATGTAATTGCTTCTAATTGACTGCAGTAGTTCCTCAAACCAGTCTACCTTTCCTTCTACTCAGAGATGTTTAAAATACTGGGACCATTCATACACACACACACACAAATAATTCATAGCATGAAACGTACAAAGGACACAAAGCATCCTATGACTAAAGCAAGACAAGGGTTTAAAACAAAAAAGAAAAAAGGGAAGAAGGCAGGGAGGAGGAGAAAGAGGGAAAGAGGAAAAGAAGGAAGGAGAGAGGGAAGTTCATCTTACAATGATGACCCTTCCTCAGTTACTTGGGTCTCCCATTTATGGGGGCCTCAGCTTGTAAACTCAGAGTAATCACTGGCCTTAGAAGCCATGTACAAGGCAGGCATACCCATCTTGTGTGGGTAAATGTGGTTGACACTTGGGGAAGGGTGCTTCTTTGAATAAACAATTTGGATCTGATTTAAGGTTGTAGTTTAATCTTTGCTTTGGTAGTTTTCACGTTTTGGAGACCGAGTTGATATCAGTAATAGACTTATTTAATTTTAAGGAAAGTTCTTAATATTATTTGAGCATCTGGTGGGTTTGGTAGGAAATAAATACATTCCAAAGACTGAAAGGAATTGGTTAGTAGTGTACATACTACACTTGGATTGCATTAGAATAACTGGTGCATATATTTTGGATAAAAGTTGGTTCATTGAAGACTTTGAGATAGCAATGTGAGAAATTTTTTTTCCCTGAAAGGGAAAATCTTATTAGATTGAATTTTACCATTTTTGCCCTAAGGCATTTGATAGAATTGTCAGAGCTTGGATGACACAAAGAAAATATAGAGGAAAAGGGTATTAAATAGTCCTCCTGCATGAAACAAATCTACACAGGAGGTGATGGAAAAGCTACATAAATTCCAACATAGACTGGTGCATTGGTTAAATCCTCTGCTGCTTTCTAACTTCTATATTTAGATGGGTAAATAAGATATTATTTTCATATTACATCTATTCAAAGGACTTAAAAATGTAATACTTCTTATATAGTTTCAGGCTCTCTTGGCAAAACAGAAGTGAGTCTATTGAATTCTCACACGTATCTTACTAAAATTTTTTTTTATTTTTTTGAGACAGGTTCTTGCTACGCAGTTCAGACTGGCCTTGAGCTCACTTTGTAGCCCAGTCTGATCTCAAACTCATAATGATCCTCCTGCCTTAGCCTCCTGAATACTGGAATTAGAGGCATGTGCCACCACACCTGGCTATAAATAAATTTGTATTTACTGACCTGAAAGGCAAGCCATCCAGTAGCTCTTCCATAGCACCAACTACATTAATTAATTTAAAGTAGAAGAAAATTGAAATGTGAAGTATGGCATGTCAACTAAGGTGCTGACAATACAACATGTTAATATTTATGAATTGTCTCATAAGATTGAGATAAGGTTAGTAAAGTTGTCTTACTTTTATTGTTTTGTTTTCAAAATCATGTATACATTAATCTTTTGTAAAGCCCATCTATGTTTTAATACTTTTTTCCTTTAAAAATCGTTTAAGATGGCTTTGTGTGATAGAGAAGATTGTTTATAATTTTGCTCTGCATAGTGACTTAAAACTGTGCTGATTGTACAAAGAGATCATATATTGATAACAGATATTGTGTTGTTTCTTGACAAAAAGAAAAAGAATATATGTCATTTTAAAATGAAAAATAAACCAGTTGACAACATGGAAGTCTAATACTTCCATTAGGAATTCACCTTGACTCTTTCATATCCTAGCAATTATAAAACATTTCTTGAGTGACTATTGAACAACTATTCCTTTAAAATATGAACAATTTGTGAATAAATACATTCTGGTTAGGATCTGCACTTTTCTTTGGCTTATAGTAAAGTTTCTCCAAGATTACATGGAGGGATATTTTGTGCACCTGAAATAAATACCTCAGAAAACCTCTTGTTGTAGAGTGATTTTCCATTATTCACAAGGAAGTCCTGGTTCCTCTTGATTCTCTTATTTGTTCCCAAGAATTTTCTTTCTTGTGTTCCCTGTGACCTGGTATATTTAGAAGAATGGGGGGGGGATAATTATTCTTAAAGAATGGGAAAAATGGAGCTATAACATTTTCTGATCTGCTTTTTAAAACATAAATTGTAAATGACAATTCTTTATTTAAATACTGATCTCTTCATGCTTTCTACTTCAGAAAAACATCAATTTTGATAATTTGTAATTTAATATGTAATCTTCTGTGTCCTCTGTTTTCAAATGTATTGCCTTATAACTTCATATAGCTAATTTAAAATTCTTTGAAACTTCTCGATGGGGTTATACCTCTTTCCTTATTCTTAATCACTCACAATACACATTTTGGTTTTCCTCTAATCTAAATCATGAAGATATTTCTGTTTTATAAATTCTTTCAAAAAATCCCCTTTGATAATATAGCTACTGTGTTTTCTATTTTATGAAATAAAGCTGCTTTCATCATTACTTATCTCCTATTGGCATCTTTAATTTTATTAGCTCTTTTTCTAATTTCGTAATATAAAAACTGTTTCTTTTTTTCTGATATACTTCATTACTGTATGCATTGAAGTTTATAAAACTTTTCCTGCATTCAGCTTCTGCTCTGTCTCTTAAATTTGGCATTGTGTTCCTTTACATGCTTCCTGAATACTAGTTGTGATTCTCTCTTGATGGAATTATAGACAGTATTTCTTAATGCCCAATACTTGAAATATTGATCACTTTTTAAATCATCTATTACAGTACACTATGATCAGATACTGTGATTTTAGGAAATATTTCATGTACATAAAAAGTGTATTATCCGGGAAATGAATATATTCAATAAGCTTTGTTGAATTATTCTACTTTATTATACTTGATTTTTAAATTTATTGCATTGGTAATTCATAGTGTATTACATTTCTTGTAATCAAGTATATTTTACCAAACTCTTGTATTTCAAGTAATTTTTACTTTATTTAGCTGTCATACTGTTTACATATAGATTTATCTGTTTCCTGATTTTCATCTTTTATTGTTACATGATCCCTCTCTTTTAGATAGCAGCATCCTATGAGCTTGGTGTTCAAGACTGACTACCTGTGGGTCATGTAAATTTGGGGAAACCGAATAGCATTACTATATTAATTTAAAATGTCTGCACATCCATGGATCCTCTTTCACACCCCCACAGCTTCCTTCTTTTCCCACCACATTGGATGTGGTGTTATTCCTAATGAATAGACCAAAACAAAAGTGACATGACAGTGAGTGACATCTAAGATGAGGTCACAAAACACATTATGCCTTCTGCTTCTGCTTTCTCTTAGAATGTTCATTTAGTGGCAGCCAGCTGCCTTAGTATAAGGACCCAGCTGTCTTGGGGAGAGGCCCATGTGCCGACAACTCGAGTTCTCCAGCCACCAAGCATGGGATAGACCAGCCAGGCAGCAGATCCAGCAGCACCAGCCCAGCCATCTGATGCCAGCAACCCCCACTGACATCCTGACTTCAGCTGGAGACTGGACCAGACCACTGATCCCATATTTGTGACTGACAGGAAAAGAACAGATTGTTTCTTGTTTAAAGACAGTATGTTTAAGAAAATATACTCACTTCCCAGTATTATAATGAGGAATTAATGATAGTGCATATAAAGATCTTTGCTTCAATTTGATTTCTGATCCAACAGTTTATGAACAACTTCTTTGCTCATCACTTAAAAAAAATCCTGCCGTGTTGCCCAAGGCTGACCTTGAACTCCTGGACTCAAGTGAGTCTCCTGCCTCTGACTCTTCAGTGACTGAGGCTACAGGTCCATGCCTCCATACCCAGTCCCAGTCCCACTGACTTCCTGTAGTCTCCCTACCATCATATTTGTGTCTGGTACTTTAGATTTTTTTTTTAAGAGTTTTGTCTTTAGGATTTTTTTAACTTGACACGTGAAGGCTAAATTCTCTGAACCCTTACACATATGCACTACTTTTATTTCTCCATGATAAGTGCGTGATCTCTTAGCTGTGCACTGAATTGCTGCAGTGAGTTGCATTTCCTTGGCATCTGCATTTTCCACTACTTTCTGCTGTTTCCCAATTTTGCTGTCATAGATGATTATTCTGTCCTTCTGCAGGACATGATAAGTCTGTCATCAGATAGTTTTTTTTCCCTTTCTGCATATTATTTCTTTTTAAAATTTGTAACATTTTTTTCTCTCTGTAAATGTTGGAGTATAGTCAGGATATGTTTAGATTAGTATCTTAAAATTCTGCCTGGAGGCTAAGAACTTCTTTCAAGATACTTGAGTTTTCAGCTCAGAATACATCTGACTTTGTCACTTTTATCACTTTCTCTGGGCACTTACTGCCCAAAAGCTGGTAAGGCCATGCTTCTAGAACTTTAAAATGCAAAGGAATCACTTAGGGTTCTTAGAGAAAGCACAAATTCTGATTCAGAGAACCTGGAAGACATGCATCTGTCAGTAACAGTATAGAAGGAGCCCTAATAGAGAAGCGCTCTCTGCCTTTTACTTGTGATACTGGAGATATCAGGATTTGCTCTCTCAAGATCATCCCCCAGCCAGAATACTCATGAGTAGGATCCATGAAGTCTTTGCCATCAATGCTTGATCTGTGGCTGGTGCACCCCTAATCATCCCACAGAAAGTATGAACAGGAGATGCTGGAGGTAGAGAACTATTATTTGGAAGAGGCAGAGTTTGGGGGAAGTTAGAGTTTGCTTCCTGAACTCTTCATAAACCCAAGTGGGTCACACAGAGTGTACATAAAACTTGTGAAGTTGTCCTGCATTTCAAGTCATAGGAATAGTGCCTCCTTCTCATCCGGAGACTTTTGTAGACAACAAGCTCTGTGTGAGAGCTGAGCCAATGAGATGTGGGCTAAGCAGAGTCGCTGCTCCTTTTCATACTCTTTCAGTGGTAAACCTATGGCACCTGGGTTACAACGGGCTCTAAAAGTTTCACCTGATCTGCCCTAAGTTCTCAGAGGGTAGCAAATAGGACCTGAGGAATCTGGATTTCCTAGGGGAATCTCTGAGAAGGACTGAGGGCTGAAACTGTGAGCTGGCTTAGCAGTGGCACAATGGGACAATGGGAATCCCAGAATAAAGAACTTATAGGCTCCAAAGCAAAGTGCTGCTGAGCCAAGGGTAAACACTATCTAGGAAAACATGTCCACTGGCTCAATGATTATTAAAAAATAAAATCTGCCTCTTTCTACCTGCTGAGCACGTGGGTGGGACCTGCTGATGGCTCCATTGGGAGAAGCAGGTATGGTCCAGCTCTTTCCCCTAAGAAACTGTCACCCCTATGACTGATCTAAAGAAAGCCTCTTTCTTCTCCCTTTCTTCCCCTCTCTTTCTCTCAAGGGAAACACATACCAGCTGATGGATAACATGCTAAGAACAGTAACAGTCGAATTGTCGAATTTTACTAATTGTGTGTGAGTGCTATTTTAATGACAATATTGCGCAGAAAATGGTAGAGTGAGCTAGGTGACTATACAGGATAATGTTCATTAATTTATTTATTTTTCATTTAACTGCTTTTACCACAGAGAAAAATGAGACTTCTGTAAACAAAGCTAAGATTGGTTGTGCAAAAGGTGGCCACTACCCGCGGTTTACCTGGGACAACCTGGTTTCTTTGTTTGATATTCAGGCTACATTGTTAAGAAGTCCTGCCATCATCATTGGACCATGAGAGTTTTGCAGAACAAATTTGAAGAACTTGGGAGTTTGGTGAACTTGAATTGACTTGGATCAACCTACATTTAACTTCATACTAAGTGAGAAATAATTCCCCATGTTTTGAAACCATTTTCAGATAAATCTTACAGCCAAGGTGATTCTGGAACAACTCTGTTTTTGATAGCCTACAAAATAGTAATCAGTAGTTGGCATATTTATTTAAATAAGCCACTTGATGATTATCTCTGTCCTGTAATGTAAATATGATCTGAACACCATCCAGAAATTATAGTTGGCTTATATTAATCCATAGTTCTCTTTTTTCAATTTTATTTTACTAATACACGCATATATGTATTTTTGCTGTTATATATATGCCGAGTGAATTTACAACCTTATGTGGGTTAGACAAAATGTCATGAAATGAGGAGTTAAGGCTCACTGTACACATAATACAATTACAAAGAAGCTAAGACATTTCTGTCTTATTTGGACTGCCCTAAAAAAGTAGTTGAAATAAACTAGTATAATCTTAAAATTATTTGTATACTGAACAAAGCAGAATATAAGAACATGCCTATAAAAATATAAACAAAATTTGTCAAAATATTAAATCTTCATAAAAAATCCAAACGAAAGAGTTGACTAACTTTAAACTGATTAGATTTTATTATTAAATATATCCTTAGCCAGTACTGCTTTTTATGGCTATAATAATTAAAATATTATAAGGATTCAGATTAGTAATTGGATTTAAAAGAACATGTTCAACTCAGAGGAGATTTTGGAATAAATTAAATTTAAGCACCATATATTCCTATTTCGTGACATTTGCCTCACGTTAATTTAATTACTGCCATTTCTTCTATTACAACAAGATTGCATTTTAATTTTATGTTTTTCAAAGAAATATGTCTGGGTCACAGGCTGCATCTAAAAGTACCCATAAACTAGACTTTATTTATATGTTTGTTCATTTCTTTCCTTTTTCACAAATAAAGATATGCCAGCCTTGCAAATGACTAACAAGATATGAAATGTGCTAGAGATACACTCTGATTAGTTTTGCATACTTTTTGTCATTTTTCTCACATCCCTGTCAAACTTTGTAGTTAAATCCATGGCTTCGTTTTCCTTCATATGATCAAGCAAGTAAGTGATTGTTGTACTGAGAATTTATTTTTATGTACAAAGTTCTCATACTTTTTGGAGGAGGGGCACTGTTGATCAAACTCATGATCTTGCACTTGTGAGGCAAGCACTTGTGCTGCTGAGCTAAATCCCTGGCTCTAAAGTTCTCATAAATTTTTAAAACCTCATATTCCAACCAGTGGTGACTTCCTTCTATACGACTAAAAAGAAAACTTTAAAAGATTCTGCATTTCTCACATATTTTGATTATTTTAAACTGACATCCAGACATTTTAAAATATATTTTTTAGGAAGAAATACAAGTAACAAGTTCACATTGGGATGAATATTTTTCACTTAAATTATTTTTGAAATTATCTGAATTCACCTGATATTACCAAAAGATAAATCCAATAGACTAATGCAAAAGGGCAATCTGAATTTATGTTCTAGTTTTCATTAGTTTCATCTTTGTTCAAATGGTATTTAGAAGATGCCCAGCCACTGCACAAAATCAAGACAAGGCTGCTGACTCACATTAATAAGACTTTGGTGATTATCATCTTCTATTTATCCTTTAACTTTCATTGGCATCACAGAAATTCATTCCTTACAGTAAATTTTGAATAACTGAAATCTTGAATGCCATCTCCTAAGCTAAAAGATATTTATTCATTGACTCATTCGTTTAACAAATCATCATTTATCTTCTACTGGGCCCTTTAGTGGACACTGGGGTTAGAGCAGTGAACAAAAGAAAGAAATACACTGTTCTTTCAGACTTCACATACTAGTAGGGGAGAAAAGAAACAAAAATGTATATATAATAATTCAGGTATGAGTAGGTGCTATCAAGCAAAACAAACCATGGTAAGGATTACATAGAGTACAGAATGCATTCATTAGTTTAGGCTGTCCACGGAAGTCCTTCTGCAAGAGACGACCTCTGAGAAGAACTAGAAAGTACATACAGCGCATTGTGAGCAAAGAGTATGTCTGAGATCCTGAGCAACTCATGCCCCATTAGCAGGTCAGTAACACAGGAAGAGGGTGCCATGCAGGGGCAGTGTGGGAAGGTGAGGTGGGCAGATAAGGTGTTTTCATGTTTCATGTAGAGTCTTGAAGATGAAGGTCTTGAAAATCCTTGGCTTCTCTGAGATGGGAGGTCACTGGACAGCACTGAGCTGAGGACTGGCAAACACTTTTCTTAGATGTTGTAAGGATTGTTCTGCCTGGTATGTGGAAATTAGCTTTGTAGAACAACAACACTGGAAAGAAATTAGGCCATTTCAAATGTCCAGGTGGCAGCTGATGTTTCAGAACAAGGTGAGACGGAAGATTGATTTCATTTGATGAATTCAACAAATGGCTGCTATATTTCTCCTTCTTTCTTGGGCCTGGCTTGCAAGCTGGAAGACAGAAACTATGTGAAACAGAGCCTGTCATCCCAGCAGACATTGCGTTTCATCAGCCAACTCACAGCTGCTCAACATGAGAGTGATCCCCGGTGAGGCCCAGCTGATCTCAGCCATGGCCAGCACTACCTCAGCTCATAAACTCATGCAAGGTGGGTGTGACACACAACTATCATTTTATTATATGCATTGCACACATCATCTTGCATGACACAGAAGGCAATCATAAAAGTAGTGAAAAGTTGGCCATTGGAAGAATGAATGTGGATGAAAATGAATAACGAACACAAAATCAATGTTTGGTTAATATATTGTGACTCACTCAGATAAAAACCATAAAGCAATATTTGTCTCCAAGGTATAAGTTTCATAAAGTTATTTTTCACTTGGTGAAGGAAAAATCAAACCTCAGAGATCTGAACAAATAAAATCAACCCTAACATAAACCTAACCCTAATCATAACCCTGGCCACTAAACCTAACCCTAACTGTTAGAGCTAAACATAAACCTAACCCTAACCCTCACCCTAAGCCCTAACCCTAACCCTAATGCTAAACTCTAACATAACCCTAAACCTAAACCTAATGCTCACTTCTACGCATAACTCTAACTGGAAACCTAACCCTAACAATAACCCTAGCTTGATTCTTTTTAGTCTCTCTGCTAGAGAAAATGTGTTAAAGTCTTATAGCCATTAAAAACAAACAAACAAAAAAAAAAACAAAACAGGTCTGAGGATGAAGCTCTGTGTGAAGATCCTATGTTCAATCCTTAATGCTGCCAAATATTATTGTAACTCTGTTAGTATTGTTATTATTTTGAGATGAGGGTCTGAGTATGTTGCCCCAGCTGGCCTCTAACTCTAGGACTCAACTAATCCTCCTTCCTCAGCTCCTGAGTGGCCTGAATTATAGGAACATCCCACCCACTCTGGAATCCTAATACCTTCTTTAGGTAATTTCATTAATGAGTCCTCTGTGACTGATGGGGTTGGACTCTAGTAGATGCTGGCCATTTACCGAACCAGCACATTCTCTCTCAATCCCTGTGCACTGCTGCTAATAGCTAACAACAGCCCACTGCCCTGAGTATTGTCCTCAGCCCACCTATAGGAGACTCCAGGAAGTTTCAGTGTGTCTACTCATCATCTGTGGTGTAGGGGACCCACTGGTATAGGGAACCTAAGTGGAACAACTCTGTGTTCACACTCCAGATGGAGGGTAGGTTTTGCTTGAATCCCCAATACCACTTAGCCTCTTCCCCAGCACTCTTGCTTCCTTCAGTTGCTTACAAGTTTCCTGTGAGACTACTTCCTCAGTAAACTTCTGAGCAGGAGTCTATCCCTCAAGATAAGTTTCTAGGAACCTTTAAGTTAGAGTAGGCATGAGTCAGATTGCCAGTTCACTCCTAGAGGAGTGATGGCACAGCGTGGGAATTCAGTTTTTCAGCCATCTCGAGTTGTAATCACCATGACCCATGGAGCATCCTCCAAATTAGAGTGGTATGTGAGCTTTAGGATAGGGACCTGGGCACTGTTGGCACCAAGAATGCACTTGGTATCTTTGATAAAAGCTTCAAATGAACCAGGTACCTTGTTTACTGTTGACCCGAGTGGTGAGGATCCATGAGTCTTGCAACTGTCCAATACAATGTTTATATCAGTGAGTTGTTGGGAGCCATTGAAACTGGAAATTGAACACGTGTACAGGGTTGCAGCATGGTTGGTGCATAGCTAACCTGAGAACAAAGAGATGCCTCAAAAGGCAAGATAAACTCACAAGTGAGGACAACCTGGCTCCAACTCCAAGTAACTAAAGACTGTAGCTATAGGCATTTCACTCCTATAGTGAAATGCAACATGGAGATCTTCTCCTAAGATACTTTTCCTAAATTAACAAAATTTGTTACTTGGAAAAGTCCTCAAACCACTCCCAAATTCTGTTCAGTTTCCTGAACTTTCCACTCTAACCCCTTCCTTGTTTGGAAACTAAATAAATATGGGCCACACAAACACAGTCCTTGTCTTAGCCCCTAGAGTATCAAACTCTGCCGAGGGTTCTGAGCCTTCTGGATCCCTAACATCATGCCAAATTGTCTCATTTATTTAAGCCTTCAATGTATACTCATTTGGGAGATTGTGGATCTAGGCCAGGTCCCTGACAATGAGTCCCCACATAAATTGCACTGTTATCTGCCTCTTTCTCTGGTCTTGTGGCAACTTGGGAGCTGTTCCCAAACATCCGGACCTGGTTTTTCTGGAATATGTAAAATATTGAGCACCACTGAAAGTTTGCAGCTTTTTAACTTTTTACTGAAATGTTTGCTTTCTTTTTGAAATAATCATATTAACAAACTTTTGTGTCAATAGACTAATTTATATGTTGATTTTCATGAAAGTGCTAATGTAAGATGGAGGAAAGAGAATTAAATATACAGAGCAGAGTGAATTTTGAGGAAACTTACTTGTAAATAAATACCCTTTCACCTAACTTCAAGGAATTCTCCATCAGTTTAATTTTTTTTATTAAATATTGTTCCTTAAAACTACAGATAAAGAGGATATATTGTTATATGACTATAAATGGTACAATGAAGCTGGCTCCTAGCTTATAACTATGTATGAAAATGTCAGACCTTACATATTTCATTTAGAACCATGCCTTCATTATGACTGAATCTGTAAGACATAATTCATAAAATTAAGTTTTATCTAGATTTGCAAGTGATGATTCAGAATTACAAGAACTGAGAGAGAGGGAGAGAGAGAGACCGAGAGAGACTAGAAAAATTTAGTCCAATTCCTTCATGATTCAGCAGGAGAAATTGTAATTTACAAAGGTTCAAGGTCATAGGGGTAATGATGTCATATCTGAAATCACAAAGCAAAACAGGGTTTAGGGAACATTTATTATGAGGTCTAACTTGTAATTATTGCCATTTTTGAAAAAAATAATAAGAAATTCACTGAAGGGAAAATGATCCATTCTATTGTATTATCAGTACAATTATTTCAAATGGATTATTTACCCACATAATTGAGACAAAAGTCAGCATTGTAGTTTTCTCAATTAAATGAATATTTAATACCAGTTTTCCACTGTACAGAAATTAGAATGGAAAATCCTGTTATGACATCCGCTTGCTTCCTCTTATGAGCAACATTTTATTCACAGGGCTCAGCAGTATCTTTGCACCTTTCACTGTTTTCTGTGACTGTGCTGCCTCGAGTCATTTCCTGAAGCGTGAGAGCTGTGTGGGACAGAATGTGGCCATGCTGTGTGCAGGCCGTCTGGCTTGAGCACATCAGTTGGGCATGCTGTTAGCATGCTGAAAAGCCTTTGGAGGTCTTGTCAAAAATGCATATTTTAAAATGCAAGACCACAGATATGCAATTCAAACAATTCCATTTACAATAGCATCAAAAAGAATAAATATTTGGTGGGGCCTGATGTTGTAAGCCTGTAATCCCAGCACTCTGGGAGGCTGAAGCAGGGGGAATCTCAAATTTTGGCCCACTGTGGGAAAATTAAGAACTTAGTAAAACCCCAAGTCAAAATAAAAAATAAAAACATTGGAGATATAGCTCATTTTGAAGGGCTTGGGGTCAAGTCCCTGTATACCAATAGAGGGGTAGGTGAGTATTTGGGAAATACTGAACAAAAGAAGTGCAAGACAGAACGGAAAACTACTGTTCATTGACAGAAATCAAAGAACAAATCAATGGTAAGGAATCTAATTTTATAGATTAAAATAGATTTTATAGGTTAAAAGACTCAATGTGAATGTATTGATCTGCAGATTCAATGCCATCCTTATCAAAATCCTAGCTGTGTATTTTTTAGAAATTAACAAGTTGATCATAAGATATGGACCAAAATGCATGGGAGTGGGAAAAACCAAAGCTACCTAATATCACAGACTAAAGATGACAAGCACTGGTGAGAATATGGAATGGCATGGCCACTTCAGAACAGTTGGGCAGTTTTTCAAAAACTTAAACACAGAGTGACCACATTACCCAGGAATTTCACTTCTCTGTATACACCCAAGGAAACTGAAAAAAAATAAAGTGCTCACAACACTGCATGTGTGTTCAAGTGGGATTATTTAAAATAGCCAGAAGTAGAAACAACCCACATACCTATTATCTAATGAATGGACAAATGTGGCATATTCATAAAATAGAATATTATTTCCTCTTAAGAATAAAGCTCTGGTAGTATGCTATGACCTGGTAAAATACTGGAAATATTTTAAGTTAAAGAGGTGTATCATGAAAGTATATATGATTCCCTTTATATGAAATTTGTTTGTTTAAAATATATAGTCACGCTATGTAGTGCAGACTGGCCTTGAACTCACTAGCCCAGGCTGACCTTGAACTGGCAGCAGCCCTTCTGTCTCAGCCTCTCAAATGCTGGGATTACAGGTGTGTACCACTATGACTGGCCCCTTATATGACACTTACATGAATTTATATTAAACATCTAGGGCAGACCAGTATAAGTGATAACTTGGTGATTGCCTAGGGTTTTAGAGGGGGGAGAGTGCAAAATGGTTTGCTGATGGTTCCAGAGTTTGGTTTTATTGTTTGTTCATGTGTTTGTTTTGGAGCGTGAAAATATCTTGAAATTAGATAGTGCTGATACATGAAAAATGTTTGACAATATGAAAACCCTGCTGACTCGTATACTTTAAATAGTTGAGTTTTATGGAATACGGATTATATTTCAGTTTTTTAAAAATAAAAGTGTGGAGTGAGGACCAGAATTCTGGCTTTCTCAAAGCACTCAGATTATGTTGATCTTCCTCTTCCACAACCTATACTTGTGGTAACAGAATTTAGAGTTCATTCCATGGTCTGTATGGGGCTTGCAGCATTCTGCTCCCGGACATAGCACCTGGGTGTAGTTGTGTATTTCTGGGAAGGAAAGTCCTTCTGCCTGCACAGTTAAAGTGTCAAGGCCAGCTGAGAGAGTTTAGGTCCATGTGTGTTATGACTATCTTACAACAGAATACAGACCTGGTCCTATGTGGTGGGCCTCAGAGCTTAGCATTGTGGCTCCCTGCCCTAAATGTCCAAGTGGGCTCTAGTGAAAGGAACAACAGAGATACTGCTTCTGGGAACCTGTTATGGAAACTGGGAACATGTTATGTAAGCTAATGTATATTGTTAAGAACTGTATCAGGCAGGTTCCTCCAAGTAATTAAGGATAGTTTACTGGGAACTGGTCACATGTTGTAGATGAACTGAGATACTACATTGGATGATGAATCAGCCCAGATTAGCAATAGGAAATTATTGTGGCCCTGCTTGGATGGTCAAAGACAAGTGCATGGGGCAAGTTACAGTTTGAAAACTGAAAGCACAGGCTGTCTGATAGGAACTGGAGACAGAGAGGCACAGGAGGAAGAACCATGCAGTCAAAGGAAGCGGGGAAGAAATACCCCGGCTTTTCCCTTTTTCTACCCTCTGGTCACCTGGGTGGGCATCTGGCTGGGTGAAAATCTTTAGAAAGCTCCTGTTTCAGAAGCTGGGAAACAGCCAATGATAGGGAATCAGTCTTCTGCAATGCACAGGCCAGAGGCTGAGAAGGAGCACAAAGGATCTAAGGGGAAGTGGGCCCTTAAGGGAAGTGTAAATTTGTGATTTACTATTATAAATGCCAAAAAAAAAAAAAAAAAAAAAAAAAAAAAAAAAAGAAAAAAAAAGAAATGGGAAGCCCTGCTTGAAAAGCTGTTAGCTGCTTTCCTAATATTTTACCCTGGAATCAAACTGGAAGGTTTTAACTCCTGCCCCGGTCCAGGCTATGTCCCAGGCCAATTTTATCAGAATCTCTTGGTGTAGAAGCTGAACATTAGTATTTGTTCAGAAGATTGCAACCCGAAGCCAAGATTAAGAACTACCACTAGGAACACAGATTGCGCAGATAATATTATTTTGTAGCTTGCTGTTAAGAAGTGTAATAATAGAAGGTACATTTTTCTATTAACCTTGTGGTAGCAAAATACCTGGAGCAATGGAAGAATGGAAGTAAATAAAGACATCCCACATGAGATCATTTTTAAAGTGAGCATAGGATTTTGAAAAGAAAATCGAAAAGCTGAGCAAACTGCTGTCAAGCAGTGTTGGGCTGAGGGGGAAGGGGTGAGTCAGTGTCTTGGAGGAAAGGACACCAATGTCGGCTCCTGGAGATAAGAAAAGGTAAGAAAACAAGAGAATTCAGTCAATTCAGGCGGGCATTGCAGAGAGAGGACCAGGAACCAAGAGGCAGAACTAGGAAATGGACTGCATTCCTCTGACTGGTGAGAGGATCCAAGAGCATAACAAATACTAGAAGCAGTCAACAGGTCCAGTGCTGTGACTTTCGGTTGCCTAGGCAACCAGAGCCTTTTCCTTATGTTAATCACAGTATGAGGAGGAAAACCACTTGGCATGTCAATATGGTGAAAATAGAGGTGGAGTCACACCTGTCGTGCTAAGTAAGAATTTTATGGCGAGGCTATGAAGGTGTAAAGGGCAGGGCATCTTCCTGATTCGCACATACGCAGGAAGTGGAGCTTTCTGTAGGGTCTGCTATTGCAGGTGAATCACGTGGCTCTCCTCCCATGTTCCCTGTGAACCAGGACTCTGGGCAGCAGGGGCGTGGCCAGCCCCCCACTAAGGAGTTTGAACCATAGTGATTTTAGTTGCAGCACGAAAAAGGGCAATGTAGGAAATTACATAAATGTTGTTTTCTTTTTTATTCGGATGCCCTGCTCCCTTAGTCATCAAAATAGTTCCAGTATTGGGTTTCATATTTTAATACTTTTTTTTTATAATTTAAAACTGTGAAAAGCTCACAATATTATTTGAAGAAACTTTCAAATATTTTTCATGAACTAGGGAAAAAATTTAAATTTTACTTTTTAGAGGTTTGTTTTTTAATAGCTGGAATATAAAAGAAAACATTTCCTATTTTGGAGAATATTTCTCAAAGTCCATGTGCCGGAGAATCACCACCCTAACTCTGCTTGGCGTGAGGGAGGATCTGACATTTGAGTTTCTAGCTGGTTCCCAGGAAATTGTCATCTTTGCGGGTCTAAGTATTTCATCTTGAGTTGCAAGGTTTTAATTCACAGTACTAGTTACCAGAAAATGTAAATGATAATTTCGTAGGTACATGCTGGCCAAAATGCAGTATTTTGTTTCATAAACTGTTTTCCATTTTTGGAAATAATTTTACCATATTCATTTACTTTCATGAATCATACAACAAATACATAATTATAAAAATTTTAATAACTATAGGAATATATGAAGTAAAATAAAAATTCATCTTCATTCGCCATCCTTCTTTTCAATCTCTCCTCTCTGGATAATAGATATGTTGTTGTACTAAAATTTTGTATATATGAATAAAATAAATGGGAATATGTGTATTTTGATATTTATTGAGACTTTTACCTCACATTTAGAAGTGGATATACATATTTATGGACACACGCATAAAACAAAAGATTATATTATGTAAGATTTTCTTCTATATTCTTTTTAAAAATGTTTAAGCACCTCAAATTAACATTTCGTCATGTCAATGTTCATATAATTTTGTGACTTCAACTATTCTATTGTTTATTGAGATTATTTCCAGTGATCATTTTTAGGAAAATTTAAACATTTACGTAGATTTGTGTAGTTGTGTGGGTATTTTTTTGTAGTTCACTTTAAATTGGGAAAATAATACCAAATTGATTTCAAGTGGTGTTGGGGTAGGAGACAAGATCTCTACTTCCTCATTAAAACTTAGATATTAGGACTGTTAAAATTTTGATAAAGCTTATGCATTTTTGTTATTTTAATTGCATTTCCCTAATTGTGAGTTTGACCATTTTTCATGTATTAATTCACCATTTGTGCTACTTATTCTTTAAAAAATTGCTCTCATACACTTCTCACTTTTATTTTTATTAAGGTATATTTTTATATTCATTAATGATAACTCATTGGGTGTGACAGTGATCCTTTTTCTGTTATATGTACACACACACACATATACACACGTGTATTTTTGCCAGATGCAGTGCAAAATGCTGCTGAATGAGGAATCTTGGCTATAGATTGGATCAGATGGCAGATTTGTGACATTAGATGGATTAACTCCTCTTTTAGTTTTTGTGTAAATGCAATAATAATGGTATACATTACTAAGTACCATTTATGCTTTCTCTAGAAGTATAATTATATCTGCATCATATATTTTGTTCTTACTCTGTACTAGTTCTTACAGATGACATTTAGAATCAACTTGAACAGTTTAATTTAAAACTATCCTTAGGATTTTAATTGAGAGACTATTGAAGCAATAGGTCCATTTGGAAAAAAAAAACTTAAGCTTTAAAGTAAGATTTCTCATTTCAACTCATATCATTTATTGGTATATTGTTTTGGTTTAATTTTCTTCCTTTAAACAATACTTTTTAATATTTTCAAGGTTTTATGGTACAAATTCTGTTGCTTTTTTAATGGAGTCATTTTATTGATTGATCATTTTTAGTATAGTGTCTGATTTTATGTTTATTTCTAGACATCTTGAAACTTTTTTATATTCCTTTAACATGCATTTTCATTATTTACATTTTAATACAAAAACTTTTATCTTTTACCCATTGTTTCTCAGTGTTTTGGTCTTTTTTCTTGAAAACTCAGGAGTATTTGAATAATGAGGTTTTGTAGTTTTCTTGCATTGATTCTGACTCTAATAACAACTTTCTTTAACCTTTAATCATGGATATTTGACATTATAGTCTTGAGACTAGTTTGTCAAATTTAGATCTTCATTTCCTAACTTCCAGAGTCTTTTTTTTAATTGTTAAAATCAGAAATGGCTAAATGTTTTTTCAATACTTTTCCAACATCTATTGTGGTAGTGTGTATTTTGATCATTTATTCTATTAATCTACCAATTTAGCACATACATATACCCTATTACATTGCTTTTCCATTCCTAAATTAACCTTCTTTGATCACCATGCTTTGTCAATATTATAAATTGTTGCTACAAAGAATGTGGAAATATTTTATTTCTTATTTATATTTGCATTGAGCTTAGTGTGAATCTTTGTGGTTGGTTCTATATGTATGGGACAATTGTCAGCATTTTATAACTTGCATAATTCTTTAGGAAAGCACTTGTCTTTTTAATGACATCAAATAGGTTACAGCTGTCAACCAGGTCACTTATTGAACTTTTGACAGAATTCCTTCCCACAAAAATATAGATCCTTAAAGCATACTTCAATTTAGGTATATGTAGGCACAAAGATTTAGACTGATGACTACCATTTCAGATTATCCAATGACACTGGTTTTCTAATTTGAAATATATTTAAAATCAATGATCGAACATTCATATAACTTTCTTAGATACTTTTGAAATATTTCTCCTTTTTTGATTGAGAGAATTTAAAGATACACACTTCTTTTCTGAAAGATCAGTATAATATTACACTGTACACATTATTTACAATGCAAATTATAGTAGAGCAAGTTTTTATTAGCAATGCACCGACATAGTAAAGCCTTATCTTATTTAGACAATGTTAAAATGCTTTTTACTTTGAGGATCTTACATATACCTAGAAATGTTCTATTAGATCCTCTAGTATCAACTCTTTCAAATATTCTGTGGATTAATGTTTAATGCCAACAAACAAAAACAAAAACAAAAAATGAATGAGTGTGGACATTATCTTGGAATGAACCATTGTCTTACTCTACTTAGATAACCCACAAACACTGGAACAGAGGCAAGAATTTTGGATTTAGGGGAAGCAGTCACTTGATCTTGAATTCTCTATGGGTTTTGGCCAGGAAGTCCTTCCAATTATTTTTTTTTCTACTCAGTCCATATTTTTTATTTTTCTCAAAGAATCCTGGATCTTAGCAAAAAGATCTTTCTCCTCATTATAATGATCACCCTAGCTACAGGAAAGAAAAACAGTCTACCACTGTATCATTCAGCTATCACTTCAGTAAGGCTACATAATAAATTCATGCCCAGATTCACCTGAAAATTCAGTGGTTTACCACAGCAAGCATTTACCCTCATGTTTGGTTCTCAGGGTTCCTGCTATTGTCTCATCTAAGGTAGACTTGGGTGGTAGCTCTGTGTCATTCTCCATGTTCCAAGACTGAGACTTTTGGCTGGAACCAGAGACATCTGTTCAGCACATCATTTCACAGCAAAGGCTAAAAGAAGTGCTACCTGGGATGTGTTCTTTTGGATGATCACAACCACCAAGAAGGTAAATATAACATGAAGATTATTGCCTGTATTTTCTGTGCAGAGCAAGTTATTGGGAATCAAGGGGTAGAGTGGCTCACTCAACCCACTGTAAGACTGGACAAAGTTATGTATTTAAAATTTTACTGAACATAAATGGGGAATTTGGGTGATTTTTTTCATCTGTGATATTTCTGAGATTTCCTTTTTAATGTCTCAGTTCTTTGTCAAGTTTCTGTCCTCGGTCAAATTCACTGCATTCAAGCACAGTTTTCTTGTGGTATGGCTTGTGTATCAGAACACACCCATCACCAAGTGACACCATCTTGGTAATGGACCAGAGGAATGACAATTACAAGAAACTAAAATAATTCCCAAAGGTTTCCATGCATTCATTCTAAGGACAGAGTTGAACAGTTGTTTAGCATAGTTCAATTGCCAGAGCAATAAACATGTAGTTTTCTTTCCAGTTTTGCTCTCCAGCAACAGCAAAAGGGATTTTCCATTAAAAAGACTTAAAGTCAACTTGCAAGGTTTTTTTTGCAAGCACTAACAAATAATCTCAATTTTGAAGCTAATTTTAGTTGCCTCTAACCCGTTAGGGTTTAATTTCTCTCCTTTTAGATACCAGGAGAAAGTTACTGCTGTTGCTTTCTCTCCATATGGCAAGACTGTGTCTTTTGCAAAATTGTCTCACAGTGCATAGAAGAAGAAACCGAGGTCCCAGTGTATCCCTTCAGCCAATTTTTGGATTCTCTGCAATTGCATGCTACAACCATGCTTTCCTATCTCAAGTCTTCACACCTCTCTACTTGCTTCTCTGTCCTGGAGTCTTCTTGGCACCAATGAGGTTTGCTTTTAATTTGCACCACATATGTGGGGCACCCTCAACCCATGAAGATCTAGACACCTTTGTGTTATGCTGCAGGCACCCTCAAAGATGCTTACGATTACACCTTTCAGTGATGCCTTCTCTGCCTTACCCTGATCTTCACTCCCTTACTGCAAAGTTACAGATTCCTTTTTCAAATCAGCTGCCTGTCTCCATATCCTGTCGTACAGCTGGTGTGGGAGGAACCCAAATTAGGACAGGTTGTAAGCAAAAAAAAAAAAAAAAAAAAAAAGTGAACACTTTCCTTGAAGTGCACAAAACTTAGAGCAGCTAACTCAATAACATAATTTATGTGCAGAAGAAGTGGTTGGCAGATGGCATCCATCTTTCTCTGTGGAGCTGGCCACATAAAACAGGTTGCTGTTGAATACCACAATCCTACTTAGCAAGAAAACCTTCTGCAACTTCCTGGCACAGGAAGGCAGAGTTTGGTCCTACAAGGACAACATCCCCGATGCTCTGTCGTCTTCCACTGTGCAGCTAGCTTCACCAGATCCCTTCTCTCTGTGCCTGCCTGTTGATCTAGTTTCCTCTTCTCAGTCTACTATCCCGAAGGGTTCAGTGCAGTCCTGTGCTCATGATTTCCACAGCAAACAGATTTGCGTGAGACTCATGCTTCTAAGATCTGGTGTCAGCCCCTCTGTCAATCCAGCTCATACTCAATTGGCCACCTCTTAAAAACAGCCAGCCTTGGAAAGTGTCACCACCTGTCCCTTGCATTGTGTGGCACCTATCTCTTGCTTTGTTCCCCAGGGCTTCCCTAGACATCTCCCACAAACTCTCCACCATTCTGAACCATGTCTCATCTTAAAAGTGCAAGGTCATGAGCACACCTGGGATGGACTTGGCCAAGAGAACAAGACAGTTAATGGGCAATTTCTGTTCTCATTTGTCCTTATTTTATATTTGTTCTTTGAGGTGTATTCTGCACCACTGTTCAGAATGCCTCCTGGAAAGCTGAGTCCCATTTGTCCATGGTGGTGTTGAGTTTGAAAACATATTTTAAAGAAGAAAAATTCTTTCCAGTTTCCCACTGCAGCTTCTGGGTTCAGAACTATCCAAAGTACACTTCCAGCAGTCACTCTGTCATATCCAGCTAAATCCTCAGGGAAAATCTAGCAGTGCTTAAACCGACGTTTCCTTATCTCTCCTTTTCCAATGTTTATTCACACACTTCCTCAGAGGAACTGTTCTGACCACCAACATTGCCCCATCTTGGTGTTACATTGGGTTTTGGTTGTGCTCAGTAGTAGAACACTTGCTTAGCATGCTGATGGACTTGCATTCAAGCCCCAGCACCAAAAAAGGAAAGGATTGAAATAGAAATACAATAAAAATAACATTTTCCCGCTCATTTAGTGACAAACATTTATGAATTTACCTTTTGGATATCTTTGGTGAACTTTTGAGAATTCTAATGATCTTTGCCTTTTCTCAACTGATAGTCCTTCCTCATCAATTTCCACGCTTCCTTGAAATGTGCAGTATTCACATCTGCAGCTGCAAATTTTGTGGAAATACACTGACTCACGCCACATGGGCAGGCAAACACAGAATGGTACAATGAAGATGTTAAAATTCAGACAAGCATAATGGCAGAATGAGAGAAGCTTTTACAAACAGCCAAAGAATGTGAAAACACAGAATTGGATAAAAGTAACAGGGTAAGTGTTTACAAGGTATTTTGGTAGCAATATTAGATCTGCTCAGAAGCCCAGAGTTCTCACTGTTGTTTAATTGGGTAGTAAGGCATGCTTCTTTCACAATATGCTGAGACTATTGAAAGCAAGGCCACAACAGCAAAAATACTCATGTTTGTTTGGCTAAAACATTTTTAAAAAACACTTTTCATGTGTGTGGGGTGTTTTTTTGTTGTTGTTGTTTTTTTTTTTTTTTTTTTTTTTTTTGGTATTTGGGGTTGAACCCAGGGCTATTGCACTGAGCTGCATCTCTAGCCCTTTTTATAAAAAATACTTAATTTTGAGTGGGGGGGGGGTCACACTAAGTTGCCCGGGCTGGCCTTCAACTTGCAGACATTTTGACTCAGCCTCCCAGAGTGTTGGGATTACAGGTGTGCACCATTGTCACCTACTTTCAATTTAATTCTTTAGAACCTTCGTGATGGCCTTTGATATTTCAAGTTGCACAAGTGTTTCAACAAGTTTGAGTACTGTGTCATTGAATAAAATGCCTGTCCTCTCCAAGGTTAAGCTTTGAGAGTTACTTTTACTGAGGTTACAATGTCCTGGGTCATGCATTTTCAAAGCCTATGCTCTTCATGTCTCCTGGGTATTTTTGTTTGCTTATGAGAATTTTATTGTTGTTCAAGTACAGATGGCAGCTTGAGTGACCTAGAAAGAACTCAACCTAAGAATAATGATTACATAAATCATGCCATCCTTAACTGACTGTTTTATTTCCTAAGCATTGAAGATGTTCTATTACTAAGTCTGTTCATATATTATTTACAAAATAATGTTTGTTAGCTTGAAAGACTTAAGCAAATTCTGGTTTTTTTTAAAAAGCAAGTATCAGAGTATACTAACCTCCAGTCTCTGACTTCCTGGTTTATTTGTTCATTTTTGTTTTTGCTATACTGAGGATCAAACCTAGAGTCTCCTGTGGTTACAGGCAAGCACCAGACCACTGAACTCACCTCTAGCCCTTGGTTTACTACAACCTGATGCTTTGCCTTTGGGGGAGCCATTGCTGTTGGAGTGGGAGGGGATCCATCCTCACAGGGGTAGGTGATTCCTGGAGGTACCAAGGGGACAGCATTCCTGTTAGCAACTTTTTGAATTCCAGTCCAGACCCTGCCCTCCCCATTGCCTCTTTTCTCAGAATCTTATACCCCAGGCCACTGCCAAGCATCAGACAGCTGTGGATATGTCCGGTGACCAGTACCATTCTTTTTTTTTTTTGGTACTGGGGATCAAACTCATGACTGCCTGTTTGCAAGGAAGGTGCTTATGCCGCTGAGCTAAATCCCCAGCCCTTGATCAGTACCATTCTTATAAAATAGACATACAAATTCCAGAATGAGCATAGGGAAAACTTAGAAAAGCAAACAACAAGCTCTCAGCCATGGTAACCGGAAGGACAGAGGATTAGCAGATTTTTGATTCTTCCTTCTGAAAACATTTTTTTTGTGGGTTTTTGACTTTTATTTTTCAACTGGTTTCAAATTTCTTAAAAGTATAAAGAGAACAGATGAAATTCATTTCATACCTCACAACTTTGTCATTTTTCTTGTAATTCCTCTAGAGTTTCAGTTCCCTTTCTACAATAGCACAGCAAAAATGAAATAAAAATGTTTACCTTCTAATTAGGCTGTGGAGTGAGGTGAGGTATGAATTTGTAAGGGATATGTGTATGTAGGCTATCAACTAAGTTCATGGAATTCCATCCTCTATTCTTATTTCAAGTTAACACAATTTTGAAGATGGGTGAACAATAATAAATAATGTAATGTTGTGTTTCCTTTTATTTGAGGCATATAAGAATTAAATTAGCACTATCTTAGATTTTTATGGCACTCTGGGATGTTTGGCAATTGTATGGGCTGGCTGCTTCCTTCTAGGATTTTTTTTTTTGTTTTGTTTTTATTAAAGTTTTAGGAAACAAGTTTCTCCAATCAGAACCTGAAAAATAAAGACAAATGGTTAGGGCGAGATCATTATTAAAATATTTTAGCCAATGCCTTAAGTTTTACTGTGAAGGAGAACATCCTAAAAATTGGGGAATTTTTATCTATTAAGTACACCTTACAAAAGAATAGAGAAGTGACTAAACTGAGCAGAACATTAGGTATATTTCCCATGTTTATTTTCAAGGGTTCAAATGGAATTATCTTTCAACACTTCAACTTCTGGCTGTGACTGTACCTGTAAAATTCTATAAAGGTCACCTCAGAAATCTGAATATGAGGCCTGGATTTGGTGAGAGGAGAGCAGGGTATGTAGGCAACCACAACACAGAATTAGTGCTATGCCGGGGGAGATGATGTAAGCTGAACAAAAAAATACAAAGGTATAGTGGAAGGAGGTGATTCACTTCATCGGAGGAAAGCCAGAGCACCTTTCCTAAGAAGACATTTCAGTTTTAACTTACTTGTTCCCTTAGGTTGAAACTGCTTTGGAATTTGCTAAGTGAAGAAGAGAAGAAATGAATAAATAGATGCCCTGCCTGTGAGAAACAGCAAGGGCCAAGGCGGGGAAGAATGTATGCCAGCTGGGGCCCATGATGCATTGTTCTTCAGTATCAAATTACTGATTGGCCATATGGGTTCCATCGGCTTATTTGAAATGTGCCTTCAAATAGGAAAAACAAAAAACCAAACAAAAAGATTCATATTTTAACTAACTTGCTTCCTTCTGTGTTGCAGAAGGTACAGACGGAGCAGAGCACTAAACAGCAGAGCACTAAAATGCATGTCCAAAAGTAGCACCAAATGATACAGTCCTAATCTTAAATTAAATAGCTCCCACTTAGATAATTTCATGAAATAAATATTGCAAATCAAACAAACACAGTATACTTTTAGAAATATAAGACACTCTGGGTGATGCCAAAGAACTGCATGAGGAGGTATAGCCAGGAAGAGGATGAAGTCATAATTGGGTGTGGTCCAGTTTGGATACATGGAGATTTTCCCAAGGCCTCAGGGCAGGCAGTGTTCTGGGAGACCCCTGGTCCTTACTCTGTATTTCCCTTGGCCTTACTGCTGTCCTGTGCTAGCCACTGCCTTCTTTAGACTGGCTCTAGCGATCCACTCTGCTTCCAGATCAGCCTTGTCCAGATCAGATTTCTGGGTCTTTTCCTTCCAGTTTCCATCCACTGTACACACCCAGTCTAACCCATCTACCTCTATTTTCAGTTCTACTCATAGTGGTCTCTTACTTTTTAGTATTTGCATTGATGCAAAGCATTCTAGTCTCTTTCTCATTGCTATAATGAAATACTTAAAGCTGGGTATTAAAAAGAAAAGAGGTTTAATTTGGTCACAGTTTTGCAAGCCCAGTGCCCAGGATTGGGCAACCTCATCTGTTTAGTCTCCGGCCTGGACCTCCTTATCTGATCACAACATGGCAGAGAAATAGAACAGAACTAGCCATGTGCAAAAGGGACCCCACGGGGATGGTTTCACTTTATAACAGCCTGCTCTACAAGAATTAATTCTTTGAGTCTAGCATTAACTGCTCCCAAAGGTGGGGCCTCTAGTGACATAATTACCTTAGGCTAGCCTTTCCTTTCACCAGCTCCATGCCTACGTCTCCACTATGATGGGGACCAATTTCCTATCACAGAAACCTGTGGGGACACACTCAACCACACCCAAACTGAAGTATACAGAAACACGTGCTCTCATTTCCCCTCTAATGAAATCAGAAAATTAATGAAAGAAAACATGGATATGACCAGGAAATTCAAACATTTCAGAAGAGGATGCCAGAAAATGTTACTTTCCCATCTTTCAAGTTTTTGTTCCCGAGGTTGTGTTATTAATAATTTCTTGTGATTCCCTCTAAGAAAACTTGTGTAGGAGAATGTTACATTCTAGGATAAAGGAAGATGGAGTGGAAAGGTGAGCATGAGGGAAGAGGGAAGGGGTTTGAAAAGCAAACAAGCTGAAATACGTACATGTAGCCACTCTCCAATACACTGTACACTGTGAATTGCCAGCACATGCAAAAATAAATAAAAGGAAAAAAAAAACAGAGATAGAGACAAGCAAGAGCGCTACATTTTCTATCTTGGGTCAAACTTGTGAATTTATGTTTTGAAGACAGTCCTCCAGGCAAGAAAATTCTCATATTTATTTGGAGTTTTTAAAGACTTTAGGCAGTCTTCATACCTTCCCTGTTTCTGGTTATTCTTCATTTTCAAATTTTGATACTGTGTTTTTCTCCTTTGGTTAAAAGTCTTCAGTAAGTTACCTGCGATAATTACTATTTTGTCCCTTTTTGGTGGTTTTTGAAATTTGTGCCTTTTCCTTCTCCTTTTTATTCCATTGATTTAGATTTTTGAGAGTTTTTGGCGCGATAAAATAGAGAATATAAAGTTAAAAATAGCCTTTATTCCAAGGACGTGGAGAGGAGTCCATGACCACTGGCGGCCTGGCTTCCTCTGACCGGACCATGGGATATGGGATACACATATAACCTCTCTGACAGGGGGTGACGCCTAGGGCCAGCATTGATGACGCCCCAGGAGCTAATCGGAGATTTCTTTCAGCACAAACAGGAAGGGGAGTCGCAATTAAGGTTGAGGAAGAAACAGAAAGTGGTAGGTAGGTGTTCCTGCTTTGGTCTTCTGCCAGGTTAGATCACTGCCATAACCGTACAGTAATTTGTACTAAGGCAAGAACCTTTCAATTTTGTCTTTGTGGTTTAGTCACTTTCTTTTTGCTAAAACACAATACCTGATGCCACAACTTAATTTTATTTTGGGTCACATATTTTAGAGATTTTAGTCCCTGCCTGGCAGGATCAAATGCAGAAAAAGGCGTGGCAGAAGGGCCTGGGCGTGCACATCACTGCAATTGGAAGGCAGAGAGTGAAGGGAGGGCTCAGGGAGTGAGATGTGTTCTTCAGGGTTACACCTCTCACCAGCGGCCTCATCCAATCAGCTCCCACTTGTAGTAGCATAGCCATGACCCAGTCTC